CCGCCACTCCCTCCGTGCCAGTTTCTTTCTAAATCCTAGGGGCCCCGTCTAGAATCAACATGTTTCAAATCGATTAGAATCATGTTTCGCGTGCGCCTGCAGAGGCCCCCCCCTTCCGCGCTCGTCTTGAGGGACCTCTCTTGGGACCTATTGGACTCCAATAGGTTCCAAGAGAGCCCAAAAGGGGCCCCAAGAGAGCCCAAGGCAGTTCCAGGAGAGCACACGCGAGCCTGGGAAGGATGATGAGGGGGAGGAGGAGGAGGAGGAGGAGGAGGAGGAGGAGGAGGAGGAGGAGGAGGATTTAGAAAGAAACTGGCACGGAGGGAGCGGGGTGGGAGGGATCGACGGTCGACCCTCCATCCGGAGGACATCGCGACGGCGTCGGCCTTCAAGGCCGAGGCCATGGGCGAGCCCCACTTCGAGATGCTGGTGGGGGCGCTGGCAGATTTGGAAGAGGGCGTTTCGTGACAAAGTGTCATTGGTCGTCGTCGCCGTCGCCCGCACCGTCTGGACCTTCCTGGGTTGTGGGAGGGAGGTGTTCGCACTTCCCAGAGCAGTTCAGAGATCGGGGAGGCCCTGCCCGCACCCGTGTTCGCACCCACATCCCCACCAGCCATCATCGATACACTCGACGATGCGCCTGGGAGAGGGAGGTGCGAACATGGGTGCGGGCAGGGGGGCGGGCCCCCACTGGCTCCTCGCACTCGGGTTCGGCTTCCAACTTTTCCGTGGGCGGCGGCCCCTTCGTGGGCGCTGGGGGGCTTCGACTCTTGGAGACCCCTGTCGATGTTCAAGGGGGGGCTCTGGAGCAGGACCGTTGTTCAGGGGGGGGGGGGCTCTGGAACACGATCTGATTCAAGGATTTCGAGTTTGCGACCCCTGTCGATGTTCAAGGGCCCTCTCTTGAACAAGATCGTGTTCCAGAGTCGGCCGACTCTGGAACGCGATTTTGTTGCAGAGAGGGCCCTGGAACATCGAGAGGGGTAGAAAAAAAACAGAACCATGGAACATGATATTGTTCAAGAGCGGGGCCCTTCAACAAGAAGCCCCCGCCCTTGAACATCGACAGGGGTCGCGAAAAAAACGTGCCCATGACGATGGCGCGTGCTGCCGCGCAGCTCTGTTTGCCCGCGCTGGCCGAGAGGACGGGACACCCTTTCATGGTCACAGAACCTTCTTTACCATGAAGATTCTGTGACCATGAGAGTGTCCCTGGCAATCTACCGTGACCCGTGACCTTGGGAGTCGACCACCGTGTCGAAGGGGCCATGTCGTGACCCATAGTGCCCCAGTCAATATCAGCATTACCCTTCTCTCTGCATTCTCTGCCATGTCCCCCCCCCAAAAAAAAAAACACAAAGCAGGCATGGATGTATAAGACAACGCACTCAATCAGAACACATACAGCTGTCAGACACTTAAGGGCACGAGGTAACATGGGCACATAAATAAGACAACCACAGCTGGCATAAACATCAGGAGACGAGGAAACGCCCACTTAAGGGCACGAGGAAAACATTGACATACCAGACAACGCAAGGCATCATAACAACCAGCAGGCAGAAATATGTAAGACAACATGTTGCCGCATGGGGTGCGTCACACAAGCACGCACGCGCAACGCTCAGGAAAACATGACTACAAAATCAAAACACATGTGCTGACATCAGACATCGTTGCCACAGCCGTTTTGGCACATGATCCATGCTGCACGGCTCGCGCGAGCTGTATTCGTATCCTTGACTTCTGCGGCGCTGGCCGCCATGGCCGATTCAATGACGCAGGAGGTGCCCGAAGTTCTGGGTGGCGATCTAGATGAAATCGCCATCACGCACCATGTTCGAAACCTACCAGTGTGTTTGGAGCGGGACGTCACTTTCTCCTTGCCCGTATGCATCTCGCTCAGGCGGTGCCCGACCTCGGACGGAGACGCTGGCGAAGGGGCAAGTCTCCCTCCCAGCGCCATCATCGCGACAGCGGCGTCGGCAACCGCTGGCAAGAGCCTCACGGTGAAGGCGGTCGTCCGTCCAGCAGCAGGCGGCGCTGCAGATGCAGATGCAGCCGGCGGCGCTGATGATGCAGATGCAGCAGGCGGTCCAGTCGAGGCCGTCGAGGGCGCAGCCGCAGCAGGCACCGATGATGGTCAGCCACCAGCCCAGTCTGTCATAGACGTGCTGGGTCAGCCACCAGCCCAGTCTGTCATAGACGTGCTAGATAGTGATGGCCACCTGAAGGCGGCCTTCAGCTCGCAGCCTCTGTCTGCTAAGCTCAATGCGGCTATCTTGAAGCGCTTGCCCCCCTCTTTTCCGACATTGGGGCGCGCTTCATCTAGTGGTGAGCCGCCAGCCGCCAGCCAAGTGGCGAACCCGAAGCTTCGGCGAAGTCTCGCCAATCCTGTTTGCGATGCTCCCATCGGCGATGCTCCCATCGCCGATGCCGATGGGAGCGTCGCAAGGAGGATTGGCGAGACGATCGCGTCCTCCCTTCGATATCAGCGCCAGTTCCGGTCGCCCAGGCGTTCAGCCATCGGCTTCGGATTCGCTAGGGCAGACGACCCCACGATCCCTGCTCACGATCCTTTCAAGCAGTTCGAGCCTCGTGGCTCAACGTCCCCAGTGGCCAAGCGCTTGCCAAGGGCCCTGAAGCGCGGCCTCACTGACCAGCCAGCCTGTGCGTCGCCCAAGAGGCCGTCGGGGTGGCTTCGGCCGAAGTTGCCGAAGGGCTTTCTTTGACGGGGCCAACTCGTAGCGATGGGTCGCCTTAGGCGATTGATGATGAGCGCGTTGTTCTGGTTGAACCATTTCGGCTTGACCATTGAGGTAATGGTCTAGGACATGGAGGACGGGAGGGCATTCATAGATAATGGGAGGGGTCATCGGAATACCTGCAGGAAAGGCCAGAGTTCCATTGCATTGCGCACGCCTGACGTAGCGTCGGGGTGCCCTCTTTGTCGCCTCGCATCTGGCCAAGCTGGGCGTCGGTAGCGAGGCCGACCTGCTAACAGAGAACAAAACATCAGCAGCACCATCACCATCACCACCATCATTATGTGTAAAATCATATTTACAGCATCATCGCCATCATCGTAGATATGTGGATCGAGGCTCTTTCGCCTGGGCAGGCCTACTAGGATGTCTGGTTGTTGGTGGTGAGTAGGTCTAAGTTCGTCCGCTAAGATGTCTGAGAAAGTCTGTTAAGATCTAGGTCTGATGTCTTGAAGCATCTTGAGGCATCTTGAAACAACTTGGGGCATCTTGAGGCATATTAGTCCATGTTGAATTTTGAGCCATGTGGGACCTCATCATGTCATGTGCTCTCGGATTCCCTCTCGGAGTCGCCCTGGTCGAAAACGTGCCGTCCGACGCCTCGGCGCTTGCAGCGACGTGCCCTCCAGGAGAGTTTGCATAAAACAGTCTCCCCGCAAGGCTGTCATGAGTCATACAAGCTTCCACGCTTCCGTCAAAGTGTTCACCCTGCAGTGCTTCCGTCAAAAGGTTCCCCCTTCAGTGCTTGCATGCAAGTTGCCCCCTGTCAGGGGTTGCACACAAATCGCCCCTCCCAGGGCATGCGACGCCCAGGGGGAGGGGGTGGAGGGGGAGGAGGTGGCACGTGCACACACATATACACGCACACGACTGGGCAGCCCACAGTCTTGCCGTAGACTTCGTTGGCCCAAGTCGTGAAGTCTTCTTGGTTAGGTCTCTTGCTCGTTTCGAGCCTCGCGGGTTCATCGCGCCTGCTCCTGTGGCCACGCGCGTTGATGGCGCCGAAGGCTGCTCATCTTCAGACACCGCCGAGGCCCGCGTGGCTGCGGAGGTCGTCGCCAGTGACGCGGCGCCGCTTCATGAGGTTGCTGAAACAGATCAAGATCTTGAAGATGATTGTGAAGTGCCAGAACACCCGTCTGCGCGCGAAGCAGGTGGCGCTCAAGGCCGTCGCGAAGGAGAGCCGGAGGGCGCTGGATGAGGAGGAGACGTTGAAGACCCACTTCAGCCAGTTGGTTGAGGACATGCGCGCGCAGATTGACACGGAGGGCTCCACGAGCAGCGAGGCCGCTGGGTGAGCTCGCGGCCTCGACATCAGGACGGTGGCCTCAACCTCAGGACGGCGGCCGCTCGGCGCGGCAGATGGCTGCGCTTCTCCAGCAAAAGCATCATCATCATCACCATCACCACCATCATCATTCCCAGCACCATCGTCACATCATCATCATCATCATCATCATCATCATCATCATCGTCATAATCATCATCATCAGCAGCATCAGAGCACTCCCCAAAGGGCTTGCATGAAGGTCCCCCCATCAGAGCACTCCCCTAAGGGCTTGCATAGGAGGCAACATGTCTTAAATCGATTAAGAACATGTTGCGCGTGCGCCTGCAGAGGCCCCCCCGTTTTGGCTTCCATGAATCGTGTCACTCTTCAGGGCTTCCATAAAAAGTGACACTCTCCAGGCCTTCCCATCAGGGCACTCCCCAAAGGGCTTGCATGAAGGCCCCCCCCATCAGAGCACTCCCCTAAGGGCTTGCATAGGAGGCAACATCATTTAAAACGATTAAGAACATGTTGCGCGTGCGCCTGCAGAGGCCCCCCCGTTTTGGCGTCCACAAAAATGTCACTCTTCAGGGCTTGCCTAGAATAGCCCTCCCCCCTCAGGGCCTCAGGGCTTGCGTCGAAGTGACCCTCCCCGCTTAGGGCTTGCACAGACTTCTGAGCTTGCATAGAAGTGGTTTCCCTCTGGGCTTACATAAAGGAGCCCATCCAATCAGTGCTTGCAGTCAGCGCCCTCTTCTCAGGGCTCGCAAAACAAAAAAACAGAGGGCCCTCAGAAGATTCCGCTCCCAAGGTCACAATCGTGCTCTCGCTCGCTGGCACTGCAAGGGTTCCTCCAAAAGCCATTTTGGCTCCAGGCTTCCGTTCCAGAGCGAGCCTGCCGGCCTAGTGTCCCTTGCCCAGGGGCCTTGGGGGCCCACGTCTCGGCAGCGCCTGGTTTCAGCGCCATGCCTGGCGCGGCGTCGAAGATGAAGAAGGATGCTCCCGCCGCGAGCCAGCAGCCCAGCAGCAGGGCGAAGGTCAATGCAAAAAAAGGCACCCCCTTTGACTCCAAGGGCAAGCCGACGAAGGGCTCCAAGAAGGATAAGGAGACGAGCCCCGCAGAGCCTGAGAACGCGTGGGCGCATGCGCCCCCGCACACCTGCCAGGCGTGCGTGCAGACCACCCACGATATCGACAGGGACAGCGACCCGTCGAACAAGTACTTCCTGCGCTGGCATAAGACTTGGATGAACGCCGCGGGCATCCTCCTCCCTGGGGGCAGTGAATGCTCGAGGTGCTTTGACACTCGCAGGCGCTACTTCGACGAGACGTTCACTTCCCTCATGCAGAAGCGCCAGGAGAACCAGGATTTAGACAACCACTACTACGATCTCAGGCGCGACAGGGCGAGCGGCGGGACCAAGTTCAAGGACCAGCAGAAGATGAAGGTCGACCAGTGGGTGAGCAAGAAGAAGGAGGAGTTCGACGAGGATTTCATCGAGGGGACTTGGATGGAGCTGTACGCGTTTGCCGACCAGAGGCGCATCCAGGGGTTCAAGAACGAGGACGATCTCGTGGAGGTGATTAAGTCCAAGTGGCCGCACTTCAGGGTGGCCTTCAACAAAGCTGGAATTCTAGGCCGCGGTTTGCCAAATGCTGCCCTCCTTTGTTTGTGGTTCTGGGGCCAGTTGCCCAGGGGCCTTGGGGCTCCACGTCCTGGGCCTACGTTCGAATAACCCAGGGGCCTAGGTCCGCTTGCCCAAGGGCCTTGGGGCTCCACGTCCTGGGGGCTAATGCGTAGGGGGCGGCATTGTGCAAGCCTTTAGCCTAGGGGTGGAGATGCCTGACTACGGGCCGAACCAGCACCGTTTTCGCCGAGGGGTCGCCGATGCTGTATCATTGCATAAGTCGGAGCGCCACGCGAGCAAGGCGATGAATGAGGAGGCGCTTGAGAACGCGAGGCTCAAGAAGTTCGGGGACAAGGCGCTAGTGGGATCATGTGTGGCTGGCCCAGGTGCGGGCCCAAGTGAACCGCACGCGTGCGCTGATGGCCAAGATTCTGACCTTGAGGAGCCCACCGAGGACGCCACTCCTGTCGACCGTTTTCGCCACGCTGCGGTTGACCTCTCTTCGGCCTCGAAGGGCGCGCCGCCCGTGACCTGGGGTGGCAGCCGCCTCCTGCGACGCGGCTCCATCGACCTGCCTGAGCGCGGCCGCGCTGCCAGCTCGGCGTGCGACCCGCCAGATGATCATCGAAAGAGGGGGCGGGGAAGCAACGCATCGTCAGGTCGACCCGATATGTCGCCAGAGCCATCGCCTCCTCCGACAAAGGCTGCCAGGTCTGGCAAGCAGCGGAGGTCTGCTGCAGACGCCACGCTCGAGGCAGCCACTGACCTGATCGCCGTGGCAGACGAGAAGTGGACCTTCAAGCTGCACTGGGAGAGCAAACTCAGACAGAGAGACTTCTCCGCGTTCATGGCGAGATTGAACACCCACGGGAGGAAAGTCGGCAACGTCGTCGGCAACATCGAGGCCGCCGACCTCAGCAGAAAGGTCTTCGATATTCAGGAAGTCATCGAGAAACGCCACGGCCTCTTCGAGCGGATCCGCAATGACTTCGTCAACCTTGTGATCCACAGCTTGAGTTGTGACGACCAGGACGCCTTGATTGATGCCCCGTTGGAAGTTTTAGGGATGATCATCACGTCGGAGATGAGCACTGCAATTCACAAGATGGGCGCACTCATGGACCAGAACTCCGACGTATTGCGAGCATTCGGAATTGTGGCCGATGCCGCTTTCAGGAAGGATTGCTTCTCCATCGGGCTTCTTGCCAAGGCTGGCGACTTGGCAGAGGAGTGCCAGAAAGGCCTCGTCCTCCATCTTGCCGAGAGGATGTGGAAGGTGACGGACGTGCACTGGGTGATCCAATGCGGGCAGCAGCTCTTGGAGACGCTCGGGGAGGGTGCCATAGTGGATGCCGACAAGATCGACATGAAAGGCGGGCCCATTCAAGGCGGCTCGTGGTACCCCCAGCCGAAGGTCGACCTGTGCTGCTTGATTCTGCTTGCGAGGTGCCTGCAATCTGAACACTCGGCGAAGAAGCTCTCCCGCTACGAGATCGCGATGTGCTGTTCGATGGTGTCGAACAAGTCCAAGTTGAGCCCGAGGTTGCGGGCGCATTTTCGGCAGATATGTGGCGCCGCAGTTCAGCTTGGCCGATCTGCTTGGGAGGCCATGGTGAAGATCCACGGCGAGAGGCAGGGGCAGGCCGAGAAGTGCAAGTCTCTCGACCTGAAGGAGGCCGGCGCGCTGACGGACAGGATGGCCGCCGCTACGAGCCCCGCCAGCTGCCACGAGGATCGCGGTGATGAAACATTCCCGACCTGGTCTTCGTAGCCGTTGTTTTCGTATTCGTCGTCGTCGTCGTCGTGGTCATCGTCGTCGTCGTCGCCGTCGTCGTCGTCGGGGGGGGGTCCTGGGATTCCTCCGCAGATTGACTTACGCAGTTTGGTCCGAGGTTCTCTCGTCCAGACTTGATGCTCCATGTTTCGTGGTGTCTTACGTGTTCTCCTCGGTTAATCCGTTTAACCGTCCCCCCCCAGTCCAAGGCCACCAGCGTTTGCGGCAGTGGCCCTGTCACTCTCGGGCGAAGTTTGTAAGATGTCACTATGTCTCCCTCGGTACTCCAAGGGTCACTGGGGCAATTTCTGGCGCCGATTTAGAATGCGAGATCTGGCCGCGGAACCTGGGTCATGAACTCAGACACGCTTCGACCCTGGTAGGTGTGGCAATGTCCCAGTGGCCTAATGCCAGTGCCACCGCCTACCAGGGTCGAAACGTCTCTGGCTCGATGTTCCAGCTTCCAAGTGTGTTTCAAGGCTAGCGATCCGCTGCACTGCCTGGGGTACTACTTTGCGTTGGGCTCCCACAGGTTATTTGCGACGCCTTCAACGACAACTACAGCATGATCGATGCACTGGGCGCCATGAGTGGCGATGGCATCTCCGACGCGGGCGTGAGCCCGAACGCGGAGATAGACGGCGCGGTCAGGGACATGTTGGCACAGGTGCTCAGGTGCACCGACGTATACCTTCAGAGCTGCAACATCGTTGGGGCGTGCATGGCGAAAGTGAACGAGATCATTCACGGCGCTCGGGGCGTTTTGCCGACTGAACCAGATGACGACTCTGACGACCCTGGCGACGATGCAGCGTGGCTTTTGGGCGCCATCCAACTGGCGGGGTGTCTCATGGTCAAGCCTCCTGACGTGCTCACCTACTTGAGCGGCAAGCTCACCATCTTCTTGGACGTATACAAGGCCATCGTGGCCACGACGGGCAGAGACGCAACCAGCTTCCAGGACTCGCTAGGGGCCATCGCCACATGCATTGAGAAGGAGCAGCTCATGAAAGATCGGACCAAGGCTGCGAGCACAACGACGCGGGGCCATGACAACGGAAAAATCTTAGCCACTCTCGCCGCTCAGTTCCGCGAGACGGTGAACACCAGTGAGATCACGATGTCTTTCATGACCAGTGTCGTCGGCAGGGACGTCAAGCGGGCCAGAGATGTCATGGCGCTCATCGACGATGGCAAGTTGCTGCCCCCTGGTGCCATGGAGTTGGCGAAGGGGGCTGCAACGATGCAGCTGGTGCAAGAGGCGCGCGAGAAGCTCGCGAACGGCAAGCCCGCAGGTGGTCTCCTGGAGCTGTCCAACATGCTTCACGACGCCCACGCCGCGCAGATCAAGCACCCCAAGCTGTTCACCCAGAGCGCGGACTTTGACGACATGCTCAAGACCGTTCGCGATGAGTGGGAGAAGCTGCACAATAACTTCATCATTAAGTCTAAGTCGTTCGAGGTGCTGAGCGATTTCATTAAGGAGAGCTCTCCCGTCAAGGAGGCGGTGCAGTTGTGGGATTGTTCCAAGGCCCCTTGGCTCGTTTCTGAGTCGATGGACATGTCTGGGATGATGAAGAAAATCGATCAGCTCGTCACGCACGTGCCATCCTGGAGGAACACGTTGGAGACCATGATACCCCTCTTGACCTTCACCTCGGCTCCACATGTGGACGCGGCCAAGCAGTTCTTGCAGGTGATTGTCGGGAGCCAGGCCGAGATGAAAGAGGCCGTCGAGCTGGCGGCCATCAACGTCGTCGCCAGTGCCGTCTTGAAGAGGAGCCTCGACGCAGGTGCCGTGCATAAGGAGGCCAAGGGGGCGAAGGATCCGGTCTCGCAGGCGGTCGGCTACGCCACAAAGTTCTTGGGTGTGCCCGTCGAGTCGTTGCCGACCGAGCTGCGCTCGAAGCTGAGCGCCCCCGAGGCCGAGGCGCCCAAGGATGCAGCTGGCGGCCCCGAAGCAGCTCCGACAACGGCGGCAGCGGCGAGCACTACCGCAGCAGGCGGCCTCAAGAAGAAGAAGAAGCCGTCCTGAACTTGAGGCCGCCGCTGCCGCCGCGCCAGCTGCGCCGACGACGATGACCACGACGGCGACCACCATCACGACGACGACTTCGGCGACAACGACGGCGAATACGCCTACGGAGCCCGAAATATTCTGACGTTCTCTGGGGCCCCGTAGTCGTCGTCGTTGTCTGGTCGTGGTCGTCGTCGTGGTCGTCGTCGTTGCATCTGCAAGCTCGAGTGGGGTGCGGCGTCCCAGACCAGCTGCGGGATTGAGCGGGGACTCAATCCAGGATTGCTCCCAGCTGGATGGGGCATTGTGCTGAAAAACTCTTGACGCTTCGCGTGTCCCCACCAGCCCATCCAGACACGATGCCCATGAGAGCTGGAGGCCTCTTGGGGCGTCAGGGGGGCATATTGGGTGCCTCACGGATCCTCTTGACGCCTCTTGGGGGTCTCTTCGGAGCCCTTCGGAGACATCTTGGGCGCTTCTCGGGGCCTCCTTAGGCGCATTTCGGGGCCCTTTTTGGGCGCTCTTTGGAGCCTTGGGCCTTGGGGGCGCTATTGGAGCCGTCTTGGATTAGCGATCAAAGAAGGGGGGTATTCAATTAGGGTCCCCCTATCGGGAGCCCCGAAAATCTCACCTTGGCGTGTTCTGGTGTCGGTATTGGAGCGCTCTTGGGCGCTCTTGAGGCCGTATTGGGGCTCCCTTGGGCCCCAATTGGACCGCCTTGGGCCATCTTGGAGCCATCTTGAGGCTTCGCGAGGGAATCGGAAGCGACACGGTGAGAACACAAACAACATCGGTTTGCTTAGGTTTGCAATGTATTTGGCCCCTTGGAGGCCTCCTTGTGGATCTCACTGGCCTCTTGGAGCCGTCTTGAGGCGGTTTTGATGCCTCTTGGAACATATTGGGGGCCATATTGAGGCATATTAGGCTATAGTGAGCCATCTTGGAATTCATGTTGGGCTCTCTGAGTCCCGCTTGGAGCCGCCTTGGGCGAAAAAGTTCCTTCCGACACTTCGCGACCGCCCCCGTGCGAGTCCAGGGGAGGGGGTCGTGGGGAGGGGTACGCCCCTCCCAGAATGGGGAGAAGGGGTTTGGAAGAGGAAACTCCCCAGACCACCTGCGCCCAGAGGGCTGGTGGGATTGTCGTGCCCTCCTCATTTCCGTATTTCCCATCTCCCTCCGTCTCAGTCCACCCCTCGTGCTCAACCTCCTTCTCCTCTCGCTCATTCCCCGCCCTCACACTTCCTTCATTATCCGCAGCTCCCTCCTGTTCGCCTCCTCCAACATCACCTTCTCCGCCGTCTTTTTCTCCTCCTCTTGCCTTGGATTTGCGGTGCCATAGGAATTACATGGGGGCCGTAATGGTATTGTTGTATGCTTGGCCCAAGATCGCGGGGGTGGATGCTGTTAGTACAGCAACATGTACACTTGCAGGAGCATGTGCCTACAAATATTTATGAGCGTATTGAATAGCATCAGAAATGCACCCAAGTAAACACCCATCCATGCACCCCCCCTCCCCCCCCCAAAACCCATTTCAGAACATACAGAACTTGAATATACAACGGCAATGTGGCCCTCGGAAGCATTGCGATGGCCTCAAAAGGTGTTGACGCAGTGTGATTGCTGCCCAGTGCTCTGAATGTCAAAGTGATGAAATTCAAACAAGCGCGGGTAAACGGCGGGAGTAACTACGACTCTCTTAAGGTAGTCAAATGCCTCGTCATCTAATTAGTGACGCGCATGAATGGATTAACGAGTGTCCTCTCACGTGTCCTGTCCAATCAAGGCCGACTGTGGGGCCTGTGGTGCACGCCGGCACTGGTGCCGCGGTGCGCGCGGGCGTGCACTGAGAAAGGCGTGCGCGGGCGCTGCGGTGTGCACTGGCGGCGTGGCGCACGCAGCTGTCGTTGCAGCAGCAGCTGTTGTGTACCCATTGTTCGTGTCTAATTATTCGGAAGGTCTTGGATGTTTGATTGGGGGCCAAGATCCTTTCACGTCTGATTGTTCTATCCTGGGCCTCTTCCTGGCCATAGGGGGCCAGGGACAATTAGAAACGAGCACTCTTAGAAATGAGCGCGACTAGAGATTGACGACATGTATTGGGTGTACGCAAGCATTGTGGTGTACTCATAATTTGCCCTGTGGTGTACACAGGCGCCGTGATGTACATAGTCGCTGTGGTGCGCAGAGTCGCTCTGATGTACACGTGCACTGTGGGCTATGACGTACCCACGCAGCTCTTCCTGCTTCTTCCTCCTCCTCCCTCTTCATGTTCGTCCTCCTCGTCGTCGTCCTCCTTGCATACAGGACGCGGGCACTGGTGTACACAAGCATTGTGGTGCACACAGGCCTTGTGGTGTACACGTGCCTTGCCGCGCATGCGTTCCTCGGGCCAGAAAAACAAATCATCACAATCAGATCACATAATGAATCTGCTACGTTCGGGCCCCCCAGCGATTTCCCAGACTTTGGCTCCGTCGGGGCCGTAGAGGTGTACGCAAGCTTATTGGTAAACGCGGGCACTGGTGCACACGGGGGGGGGTGCTGAAGCAGAGCTGTGGTGTCAATAATCACAGGCGTTGCGATGCAGACGGACGGCTGCTGTGGTGTACACAGGCAGTGCGGTGCATATAGGCATTCGCATTCAGACAAAACTTGTTGCCACCATGGCTCACAGCCAGAGTGGGGGCTAGGGGGAATTGACTAGTCGTCTGCGAGGCCAGTCGTTGCCGTGTCGTGGACACTCGCCATGACGTGCAGTTGCCATGACGTGCACTGACGTTATGGCGAGCACAGGCGTTGTGGGTCCAACATGTCAGAGCGTTCCGTGGGCCAGAAAAACAAATAACCACAATCAACTCACACATTGAATTTGATACGTTCGGGCCCCCAGCGAATTTCCGCAGTTTTGCTCCGTCGGTACCTTCAGGTGTACACAAGCCCTGTGGTGTACGAAGGCACTGTGTTGCACAGGGGGTGCTGAAACAGCAGCTACGGTGCACACAGGCGCCGTGGTGTGCTCAAACAGAGTGATATACAAAGGCGCTGTGGTGCTCGCGGTTGTTGTGGTGTATACAGTCGCCATGGTGCAGACACATGTCATCTCTCCAGTCATTCTGGTGCACAAAGGCATTGTGGTGTACAGGGCCCGTGTTGTGTGCGAAGGCACTGTGGGCATGGACGGCGACGCCCACGACGCCCACGACGACGACGACGACGACGACGACGACGACGACGACGACGACGACGACGACGTAGGCGGCGCGCCTCAGGGGGGTGCGCGCCGTGGCCCCGTTTACCATTACCCAGGAGAGGAAAAAACACACAGACACAATGAATCGTCGATCCCCAGGAAAATATGGGAAAATATGGGAAGTGGTGGGGAAGACAAAAACCCAGAAAATATAGGAAAATATGGGGGATCTCTTTATTTGTGTGTATTTATTTGTGTGTCCCAGTTTCCCTTCAATTACCCCCCTTCCCCGGGTAACACGTGTTATCCCCAGGAATAGGACAAGTCTCTCAGGCCGTGATGGGCTGGTCTGGGGAAGGCCTCGCGGACCGCCCACAGAGTCGAGACCGCATAAAGAGTCCCAGACCTCTTCGAGCATCCAGTATTTGTTGGCTATCGAGGTCCTCTTGGAGCTTCTCTTTGGGCCCTCTTGAGGCGCCTTGGGGGCCGCGTGGGCCGTGAGCAGGCCCTCTTACGGCCACCCCGCACAGCCAGGATGGACAACCTTCCCATGGGTACCCATTGTTCATGTCTATTTCTTCGAAAGTTCTTTGATTTTGTTGGGGGCCCAGATCCTTTCATTTCTAATTGTTCTATCCTGGGCCTCTTCCTGGCCACTAGGGGGCCAGGGAAAATTAGTAGAACCGAGCACAATTAGAAATGAGCACGATTAGAAATGAACGACGAGTACCCTTGCATCCTTGCCCCTTCGGCCCATCTTTTCAACCGCGACTTTCGCTGGCCGACCTCGCTCGAAAAACGTTCACGTGGGCCTCCAAGGCCCTCGCATCCTTACCGCGCATCCTCATGATACGGGTTGACTGTACTTAGGTGTTCTTGAGGCCGTGGCAGCGCGCTGGCGCTGTCCTCGAGCCGTCTCGGAAGGCATCTCGGGCAGCTGCGAGGCGACGGCGGGTGGCTTTGTGGAGGCTCCGAGGGTCCCGGATGGTGCGCTCCGGAGGTCGTCGGGAGATCCCCCCCCTCCCTCCCTCGAGCCGGATTTTGAGGCCCTGCGGAGGGGGACAGTCGGGCGGGGCCATAGGGCAAGGATGAATCCGGTCCAGAGCGTTCCCGAGCGCTCTCATCGGGTGTTGCTAGGAGTACCCCTGGCCCAAGGTACCCCCAGGGTTCTCGGGGTGGCCCAGACGGCCTTCAGGGCACCCCTCACGAGGGCCAGAGGGCCCCAGGGGCTCCAGAATGAAGCGAAAGCTGGGGCACCTTGGGCCAGGGGCACCTTTAGCAACACCCGATCTCAGAGCATGCTGGCACTCTCGGGGAGGGCCGCGGCGCCTGAGGCATGTTCCGGAGCCGCCAGGGCACAGAGGTTCTCGATGCAAATCCCCACGCGAGTTGTTCTTCTCCCCGTTGGCTTCGTCTTGGACAGGGAGCAGATTACCAGCCTGGAACATATCCCTATCCCTATGCTGGGCACCTCCTCATCACGACGCCAATCTTAGGGATTCCCTTCTTATTTTTTGAGGGCGAATCCCTAAGATTGTCATCGCCTTTTGGCGTGTCAATCTTAGGGATAGGGATACGGTCGAGGCTGGTAAGCAGAGGGACGGCCAGCCATCTCGCGCGCCTCTCCATCCCCGGCAGGCAGGGTTCGGCTGGCTCTGCTGCTGCCTCTTCCTCCGTCCCATCCCTCGCCGTGCCCGCCCTCCTCGCCAGGCTTCTTTGGTCGACAGGCGCGCTCCACCATTCGCAAAGTAACTACGCGCGAATGGCCTGGATCCCCGCGGGGGATCTTCGACAAGTTGCATCAAAGCGAAAGGTGTTTTTTTTCGGACGTTTGCGAGTAGGCGCTCTGCAAGTCGTGGAACGCGCTCGGCGAGCTCCTTTAGAGGGCCACATGCGAACCCCACCCTGCCCCTCAGAAATCGTGGGGTGGGGGTAGCGTTTGCCTGTGGCCCCCGATTATTGCTTTCCCAGGGGGTGTGGTACAGGACGGGTGAGAATTACCTCTTCCTCCTCCTCCTCGCCACGCTTCTTGCTCTCTCAGGGGCGTGTGGTACCTGACGGGTGCGAGCTACCTTCAAGTCGGGCCTGTCCCTCTATGGAGACGTTTTTTTTTTTGTTAAATGGTAGCAATTGGATTATGGAGACGAAACACATCAAATTAAATAGTAAACCATGGTTTGTTGGAATAGTTGTCTTAAACTATTTTTCATGTTTCGCCCAAAATCCCCCTGTAGGGGGACAGGCCCGACCTAAAGCTACCTCTTCCTCCTCCTCCGCCCCGTGCGAGCACGCCTGCGCTCCTGCTGGTGCGGCTGCGCCTTCGAGCGGAGGTGGCTTCTTCTGTTGGGGGGGACATCGGGTCTTGCTCCTGGGTCCGATTGGCAGGTAGTGAACTCACGCATGTTTCAGGAGACTAAACACACAGACGCAATTAACCCTCGATTCCCCCGAAAATATGGGAAAATATGGGAAGTTGGGGGAAGACAGAAACCCAAAAGATATGGGAAGATATGGGGAATCTTTCTATATGTGTGTATTTATATATATATATATATATATATATATATATATATATATGTGTGTGTGTGTGTGTGTGTCCCATGGCCCCTTCAATGCTGGTGAGACAAAAACAGGACGGGGGCGAGGTGGCCCCGAGGTTGTCCGGGGAACCAGTTCTGTGAGGGCCACGGTGCCGTGCGGCCGTGCTGTCGCTCGTTGTGTCTTTGTGCGTGTGCCTCGTGCGCGGCACGCGCGCAGCGCGGTGCGCGCGCACCCTGCCCAGCTCTCGATTTACGTCGGGCCTGTCCCTCCACAGGAGGGGTATTCCAAAATAGTAACAAAATATAGTCTGGGGGCGATTTTTTCGAATAGTTGTGTGTTTGACGATCTCCCATTTGTCCACCAACATCCACCCGTAGGGGGGCATGCCCGACCCAACCCTAGATCTGCGGTCGGGGGGCAGGGTCTGTCGCAGAGTGCGCCTCGGGCGCGATCGCCCGAGCGCAGCCCGTGGTGTGGTCGGGTGTTGCTAGAGGTGCCCCAGGCCCAAGGTGCCCCCAGCTTTTCACTTCCTTTTGGAGCCCCTGGGGCCCTCTGGCCCTCGTGAGGGGTGCCCTGGAGGCCGTCAGGGCCACCCCGAGAACCCTGGGGGTGCCTTGGGCCAGGGGTACTCCTAGCAACACCCGATGACAGCGCTCCGGAACGCTCTGGACCGGATTCATCCTTGCCCTATAGCCCCGCCCGACTGCCCCCTCCGCAGGGCCTCAAAATCCGGCTCGAGGGAGGGAGGGGGGGGATCTCCCGACGACCTCCGGAGCGCACCATCCGGGACCCTCGGAGTCTCCCCGACTTGGGGCCGCCGCTGAAAATTCGCACGCTTCTCGTTGGACCGATGGCGTGCGACGTGGTGCCGCCGCTTCGCTCCGCACACGGGCGTCTCCGGCATCGGAGCAGCCCCCGGAAGGGCGACAGCGCGCATTGAGGGGGGCCTTCCTGGGGGGGATCGCCTTACAGCCAAGTTGGGCCTGTCCCTCTACAGGAGGAATGTTCAAAGGTAGTCAAAAACATAGTCTGTGGACGATCCGTAGCCATTTTGGCTCAAGTTCGAAACGCGCGGCCTGGCGCTTCGAGCTTGGTCGCAGCTGAAGGCCTGGCTCGAGGGCTGCTGCCCTTCCAGGAACGCTCAGCTTGATTTCAGGCAACAACATCCCCAGTCTCACGCACCCGCGGATGGCGCATGAGGCAGCTCCCGAGTGGGCTCGTTCGATTCTGGCTTCGGTGACGGGCATCGACGCAAAGCTCTCGTCGTTCCAGGTCGAGATCACGGCGTCTGTCACGGAGATGCGCTCGGACTACGGCCAGCTAGCCGCGAGGATGAACATCTTGGAGGCGAGCATGGAGCAGTATCAGTCGAGTGAGGATGTCATGGCCGACATTTCCGCGGAGGCTGAACGTCAGGTAAGGATGCAGAAGCTCGAGTCCATGGTCCAGAAGCTAGAGAGCCAGATCAACGACACGCCAGCAGACGGTGGACCTCCGCCACGGCGTCGTCGTGCACTCAGCCCCGCATCTACACGCTCTACTGGCATTTCATCAGCAGATGGTGCGATGGGATCTTCGTCACAGGAGGGAGCCGCTCGTCTTGTACTGCTTGGATTTCCACGGCCGCGCATGCAGGCCACACTCCGACGAGCGGCGGAAGTGGTACGTCACCGCTGCATGCCCACTCACTCGCAGACATCGGTGGTGATCAAAGCGTTCGACCTCAATAGGAAGGCGATATTCGAGTTCAATTCAGCATCGGCAGCGTCGGATTTCCTTAGCAATTTCCAGAAGATCGAAGGCGAGCTTCAGTTTCCCGACCCCAAAGGCGGACATTTCGTGCTCAAAGTCCGCAGAGACCTCAAGGTCAAAGATCGTCGTCTTTTCCTCGCAATGGGCAAGCTCAGACAGAAGCTCGAGGCACTGCTCAATGGCAGGTTCACGGTTGGCTCGAACGGACTCGGCGGCGACGTCTACATTCTGCGAGGGGAGGAGGACCCTGTTCAGTGTGCACACGTGACGGTACTTGAGGGGGTGAATGATGTCCAGGTTGAATTCACTGACTCCACTTTGACGGAGTTTGGCATTCTGGCAGACAAAGCCAGCCTGATGGATGCGGCTCAGGTCGCAATGAGACGGCCCTTTTGAGCGTGCACGCAGCAGCACTGACAGAGCGGCCAGGCACTCGCTTCCTGTTGACTGTCTTTTTCCCGTTTCTCCCTCCCCCCCCCCCTCCTCCACCGACACTACGGATGATACGTCTGACAGCTCGGACACGGATGACATTACGGATATTACGGATCTCCCCTTCTCTCATCGGCGCCCCTTCTCGATGGTCACGTGGAATGCCGCTGCTCTTTTTGCTTCTGCCAGGTATGGAAGGGGAGTTGGCGAGGGCTCGCTATCGTAAATTCTTGCAGTTGTGTGAACGGTATGACATTGTGTGTATTCAGGAATGTCATGGGCATGAGGGGGATATCGCTTGCCTGAAGCAGCAGTTGCGTGGGTGCCACATTGGAGCTACGATGCGTGCGTCGGCTGCTGCAGGGGGCACAGTTACCGTAATTAGTGCTGCGCTCGCTTCTCAGTTCTCTTCTATTCGGCATCGTCCTTTGTGTGAGGGGCGAGTGCTCCTATCTCATTGTGTCGGTCCGCATGGTGCGCTCGTTATCATCAATGTTCACATGCCTAACACATGTCATGGTCACCAGCAGTATAGGAGAGTGCTCCGCGCGGTGTGTTGTGCGTTACCAGCGGCCACGTCTTGTTTCAACCTCGTAGGTGGGGACTGGAATTTCGCGCTGGAGGAGGAGGGGAGGCAGTCTGATGACGGGCATTGGGAGTCTGGGGACAGATGGCACACCACTCTTTTCGGCACGAAGTGTGCACGTTGGGCCGAGCTCTACCAGCCCGATCCGACACGATACGGCTGGGGCAACGACGGCAGCTCCCACACGGCTCGTCTCGACCGAATTTACACTGATCTTCTTTGTGCCCTCCTCACCGACCTCACTCTGCAGGCAAAGGTGTGGAGCCGACCGAAGCGGCATGAGCCGTCGGATCATCTTCCGGTCGCAGTCTCCTTACAGGCCTTCCACCCCAAGGAGTCCTCGTCGGTCCCAGTGTGGCTCAGCAAGACCCCCATCTACAAAGATATTGTCTCGGATGGCCTCCTACAGATCCCCGCTGAGTGGTGTCCTCTTCGGCGGCTTGAAGCTGCAAAATCGGTCATGCACGACGCTGTTAGGGCCGCCAAGCGCGCACTCGCACATAAACATGCTCGCACTCCTGAAGAACAACATTTCTGGGCTATGCGTGCTGTGCGTGGGTGGCGTACAGGGAACTTCGACTTGGTACGCAGTGCGATCTGCGCGCTCCCGCTTCTGTTGCAAATCTTTGATGTGGACCGTGAGGAGTGCACGGACTACGCTCGTCTTTGCGAATTTGCCAGGTCGTGCCATTACTCTGTGTTGGAGGCCCAACTTAACCAGGCGGTTGCAACGACTACGGAGGGTGAGGAGGAGGAGGCTCGGAGGCTGCAGGCCATCTCACGTGCCCGGTTTAAGATGCAGAGTTGGCGCAAAATGCGACGCCGTGTGCACCTCTCGGGCGTTCTTGCTGATGACGGCTCCCCATGTGCGACGGTTGAGGAGTCTGGCAACGCTCTTGCGCGGTACTGGGAGGGGGTATTTGCTGCAAAGGAGGAGGATATGTCGGGGTGGGAGGATTTCCTTGTGCACTGCCAATCTGTACAGCCGCTGAGTGAGGTGACACAGTGGAGGGTCGAGCGGGATGACTTTATCCGTGCCATCCGTGCAAAATCCAACACGGCCCCTGGTCCTGATGGTATCCCTTACAGCTGTTGGCAGAATGACCCTGCCGCCAATATCCTTTTTGATGTATATGAGTACCTTTACGACACGAACAGCACAGATTTCCTTATTGACATGCAGCACGTTCTCCTCACCTTCCTTCCCAAGGGTAATCAGGACTCCGACGTGGGCACAGCCGTTTGTCGTGATGCCTGCAAGACGCGGCCACTGGCGCTTGCTGACACATCGTGCAAGGTGCTGTCGGCAGCGATGGGCTTGCCGCTTGCATCGGTTGCGAAGTCGACAGTTCATGTGATGCAGTCGGGAGGTGTCGGTGGGAGGAGTATCTTATCTAACGTGGTGGAGGCGGAGGAATGGGGGCTATCTCAATGGCTTCCTGATAAGCCGCGCTCGGCACTCTTGCTCACCGACTTCGCGGCTGCGTTCCCTTCCCTTTTCGTCAGCTGGATCCTCACTGTCCTTAGTACTATGTCTGTGCCCACTCCCACCATCTGCTTCTTTGCCGCGCTATACACTGACAACACTGCGACGGTCACTTTTTCTGGGCGGCGCCTGCGGCGCATCAAGATTGAACGAGGTGCACGGCAGGGGGACCCGACTAGCATGTGCCTTTTTGCGTTAGCGCTCGACCCGATATTGCGCTGGCTTCTGCATAAAGGTAGCACGCACATCGACAGAGGGCTGGGGCATGCGGATGATCTGCTATTTGGGGTCTGCGATATCCATACTGGGCTGGTGCCTATCCTCGTGCTCCTGGGGACCCTGGACAATGCTATCGGTCTCCGGCTTAACTACTCTAAGTGCCAACTGGTTATTACGGGTGGGCTGACGTGTGATGAGGTCTCGGGTTGGCTGCAGGCTCTAGGGGCGCCCTTTGAGTACCTCCAAGTTGGGCGTCATGCCCGCTACCTGGGGGTGGAAATCTGTCCCGACGGGGGAGCTCATGTCTGGAGGGAGGCCATCGACAAATTCCAACAGCGCGTTCGTGCCCTTAGGAATCTTGGGCTCGGGCTTGCTATGACCATCGTCATGTTTACTTCCACTTGCTTGTCGGTGCTTGGGTATCTATTGCAATTCTATGCTCCGACTCCAGAGGTGTACCATGTGTATGATGCATCGCTTCAGTTGCTCGCCGCCGCACCGCGCTATTCTTTCTCTACCAAGATGCTCTGTGGTCTCAAGGAACTGGGGCTGACAACGGAGTTCCCTGCACTGAGACAGTACGCTCGTGCGGTGCAGTTGCGCGCGGCTATCACTTGCCCTGCATTTGCTCAGGTTAAGGCGCGGCTGGAAGCCGCCACCTCGACGGAACGGATACGGAACGGGATGGAGGATGGGGTATGCATTGCTAGGACACTGACTGGGTGGTGGAGGGACTCTCTTGTGCGACAGATGTGCATTGTGTGCGACAGCTGCCAGCAGATCACTGATGCGGTCCCTCACGATTTCCCTAAGAAGAAGCTCCAGCGTCGTTTCCTGAAGGCCCTCATTGCTCGGGACCCCGTGGACCTCGCTGACTGTCCTGAAACTGGGCTCCTCCGCAGGATCTCCTCCTGGCTCCCTGCCCCCTGCCCCATCGAGGTTGCCCGCATGATCAGTAAAATACGTTGCACGACGAAACGTACGAAGATGTATATTGGGTTGGCTCCGTTGCGAATCGCATGCCGTGGTGTCTGTACTACTTCGCGTTTCCACACGACTTCTCGGGGTTGCGTCTTTGGGTGTGTGTCTGTGGTCCCTGGGGCGGACCTCGATGATATGCAACACTACGTTGTATGCACACGTTTCCAGGAGATTGCAAGGATCTGGCTGGGTGCGATAGTGGATTGTGCCGACACTATTCCGATCTCCTCTCTCCTCCTCCTTACAGTGCACCCGTCGGTGGAAGCAGTGCTGTGCTGCGCGTCATTTTGCGAAGCCTTTTTACACACTCACTTTCAGAAGAGGGTTGGCTGTGATGCCGACCCCGCGAGACTCTTCGAGGCGCGCATACGCCTCCACTGCAGGCGTCACCGCGCCTTGCAGGCAGCCTGGACAAAAGTCACCGCCGCGAGGCTCGCTGTGGGGCAATCAGCTGGCTAGCGGGGGAAAAAAAAACATAGTCTGTGGACGATGTTTAGACTGTGTTTGAGCATTTGGCGTGTATTTTGGGGTATGTTCAACTTGTCCTCCAAAATCCCCCTCTGTAGGGGGACAGGCCCGACCTATAGCGTGCATCTCGGAAATCGATGTTGCACGCTGCCTTTCCAATGCCAACCCCCATGAGAGAACCCTGGAGGCCTCGCGCGTTGAGATAGCATCGAATCATCCAGTCCACGCGCCCGCTCCGTAAGACCTGTGCCGACGTTCGCGCGGCGATGCTCCGCCGCAAGTCCGACGCGCACCCGGCGCAATCCTGACGCGGCTCCGACGTGCATTTGGGTCTCGGGTTGCCGCGCGAGGCCTCCAGGGTTCTCATCGCAAGAACCTCAGGAGAAAAAAAACACAGACACAATTAATCGTCGGCCCCCGAGAAAATATGGGAACATATGGGAATTGTGCGGGAAGACAAACACCCAGAAAATATAGGAAAATATAGGGAATCTTTTTAATTTGTGTGTATTTGTTTGTCCCAGGGCCCCTTCAGAACCGTGCCCTGGCCCGCGCCCTCCGCGCCATCTCTCGGCGGCGAGCCCCGGGGAGGCGTGCGAGGGGGCAGGCCTCCTCGGAGCCGACGCGGAGCCGACGAGCCTTGGGCCTCGAGCTACCGGGGCGCCCCGGCGCCCTCCCGCCGCACCCTCGTGGGTGCCTCGGCGCGGGCTCCTGCTTGCTTGCTGCCGCGCGAGGCTGCCAGGATGCTTCTCGCAGCTGCCGTGGGCGCCCCACCGCCCTCCCGCCGCACCCTCGTGGGTGCCTCGACGCGGGCTCCTGCTCGCTTGCTGCCGCGCGAGGCTGCCAGGATGCTGCTCGCAGCTGCCGTGCTCTGGAGACTTTGTCTTCTGTTTGCCCCCCCCCCCGCTCCGGCGAGAACGGGCGTGACCAGAGCGGGCCGGCCACGTCGCGACTCGCGCCGTCGCCGCCTGGGAATGCTCAGGAAGGGCTCATGCCCAGATGGCCCCAGCGCCAGTCGTGGCGTGACCCTCGGGGGGGAGGGAGAAGAGGGTCGGGAGCCTCGAGACGGGGTCAGTGCAAACGGGGGTCAGCCAGGGCGCCCGATCTTGCAAGATCCTGCAAGGCCGGGGTCGCATTGACCCGGGTTTGGGTGCAGGATCTTGCAGGATCCTTCGGATTGGCCCGGGCCTGGGCGCAGGACCTTGCAGGATCTTGCAAGTCCTGACTGACCCAGGTCTGGATCGCCCCGGGTCCGAGGATCCCCGAGAGGGGGGCGGGAGGGGGCGGCCACGGGCGTGGCCGCGAGCAGTATGCCGAAGGACGCAGCTCCTGGGTCTCGAGGCGCCGCGCGCGAGGCCTCCAGGATGCTCCCGGCAGCCGCCGTGCTCCGCTCTCTACCCTGACCTTCCAGGAGGGCTGAAAAATAGCACCAGGACGTCAACGTCCTAATTCCTGTCGAGGTTTGAGACAATCCAGATAGATCTATAGGTCTGGAGTGCTATTTTCTAGCACTCTGGAAGGTCAGGGTAAGCTCCCCCCTCGGCGCCCTGCCGAGGGGGACCTTCTGGTTCCAGGGCGCCTCTGTTCGGGTCGGCCCCACAGGGGGGTCCAGCGACGAGCCTACCGGCAGGCTCCCAAGAACCAGTCGATGGGCCCCAAGAAGCCCCCAAGAAGCTCAAAAGGGGCCCCAAAGAAGCCCCAAGAGGCCCCCATAACGGCCCCTAAGAGTCGGGGGTGGACAGACCTCCTACCCTGACACGTCGATTGAGGAACTGGCCGTTTTCGGTTCGCGAGAGGGCGTCGCGGCTGTCATTTTGCGGGTCTAGGTCCGTCGGTTTCGGTCCCAGGCCGTTTTCACTAAGGGGAGGTTTGCTAAATGGAGGTTTGACCACCGCCGAAAGGGGAGCCGAAGAGGCTTCAAGATTGCCTCCAGGAGGCTTCCGAGACGCTGCGTCAAACTCCCAGGGAGCGGCCGGTGATGCGCCGCCGGCGTTCTCGATTTGGTGCCATAGATTTGTGGGGTTGCAATACGCTTCGGGCGAATACCTTCCGGGGCGCAGATGTATAGCTGGATTTTCGCGTGCCATACACTACTTGCAACGCAATGCAGTGCAAGTCTCCGGCGCAGCACATGTGCAATACGCGTGCCTCGGATCTTTTGCACCACCCCCTCTCAGCGCTGGACCCCCTCAGACGGCTCCAAGGGCCCGAAGACTTCTCCGACGGAGGCCCGCAAGACTTCTCAGGCGGCCGGGGGGGGGGGGGGGCTTCCGAGAGGCGCCGCCGCCGTCCGAGAGGGCCTCCCCCCCCCGCCAGTACACGTCGCCCCTGGGCCCGCCGCCAACTCTCGGCTCCCTGCCACAGCCTCGAGCGTCCGCAGGCGCGTGGCGCAGGCGGCCCCGATCCCCAGGGGGGGAGTGCGCCGCCCGCCGATTCTCTCCAGCTTGAGGGCGTCCGCTTCCGCGGACGCTCCCCGGGTGGCACCCGTCGTCGTCGCCGCCGGCGCATCTGTCTCACACGCTTGGCGAGGAAGGCAACGGCTCTCTGGCGCAACCAGTTTCTCGCTCGCGCCGTGCTTCGCCGGCCTCATCCCGATGCCTTTAGTGGCCTGGCCTTCGCCGTGTGGTGGCATCCATCTTTTGGCGCAGGCTGTGGTGGCATGTTGTCCGCTCCCATCTCCTCCTTCCAAAAAGCGTCACCGTCAACTCGCGATGCCCTGACCCAGTCATGATTTGTTCACAACGTCGACCCCCAGAGGACTCGACTCCGAACATTGTGAAGAATTTGCCGCCCTGATTTGTTCACGACGCAAGGGTTTCGCCGCCAACTTCCGGCGCCCCCGCAAGGAGACCTTCCGGCTCCAGGGCGTGAAGATCCTGCGGGGCTGGTTGCAGGAGCCTCGCGCGGGGCACGAGATCCAAGCAGAGAAGCGGGCGAGCACCGACTGCGACGGCGGCGAAGACGCACGACGACGGCGAGGACGATAAACGACACGACAAAGGCGAACGAACGCAGCGGAGCGAACGACGACGACGACGACGACGACGACGACGACGACGACGACGACGACGACGACGACGACGACGACGACGGCGACGGCGACGGCGACGGCGACGGCGACGGCGACGGCGACGGCGACGGCGACGGCGACGGCGACGACGGTGGCCGTTGCAACGGCGACGGCGCCGAACGCCACGGCTGGCCGTTGCAACGGCGACGGCGCCGAACGCCACGGCGCCTCCCCCGTTTTTTGGCGGCGGCTCCCGTCCATCAGTCCATCCAGAGGCCTCCTCCTCCTCCTCTCCTCCTCCGCCCTCCCGACCTCCTCTCCTCTCCTCTCCTCTCCTCTTCCTCCTCCTCTCTCTCTCCTCTCCTCTCCTCTCCCTCTCTCCTCTCTCCTCTCCTTCTTCTCTCTTCTCTTCTCCTCTCTCTCCTCTCCTCCTCTCTCCTCTCCTCCCTTCTCCTCTCCTCTCCTCTCCTATCCTCTCCTCTCTCTCTCTCCTCCCTCTCCTCTCCTCTCTCTCCTCGTCCTCCTCCTCCTCCTCCTCCTCCTCGTCCTCGTCCTCCTCCTCCTCCTCCTCCTCCTCCTCCTCCTCCTCCTCCCCTCCTCTCCTGCTCCTCCTCGTCCTCCTCCTCCTCCTCCTCCTCCTCCTCCTCCTCTTCCTCCTCCTCCTCCTCCTCTCTCTCTCTCTCTATTTGTCTTGGGATCGCTCGACGGCACTTTCTTCTCGGCGATTATGAAGAAGATTCTGGATCCTGCCCAAAAAGCCGCACGAGACCGAGCAAAACACGGGAATGTCGTCCGCGACGGGGAGTCTCCCGGCCTTCACATGTCGAGGAAGAAAAAACAACATAAACATGGTATCGCTCGGACGTGTGCACTGTTTTCTCGGCGGGGATTCTGAAGGAGCATCCCGGATCCTCCTGCGAAAAAAAAGCCACGCACGAGACCGAGCAAGAACGCAGGGAGTGGACGTCCGAGCGACGGGGAGTTCTCTCCCGGCCATGCACATGTCGAGGAAGAAGAAAAACCATAAACATTGACTTTCTGGCGCTCCGCGCGGATTTCTTGAATCCGCGCCTCGCCCCTCGCGCCCCCCCCCCCCTGCGGCGCCTCCGGCGCCGCCTCTGGCGCGCTCCGCGCGCCAGGGAGGGGGGTCAGCACCAATCCAAGAGATCCGCGCGGAGCGCCAGAAGTCTACGTTTACGACTTTTTCCCTTTCCTTCCAATGTCGCCATGGGGGAAACGGCTCTGCAGGTGTGTCGCCGTTTCCGGGCTCTCGGGGCCTCCACGGGTCTTTGGGCTGTCGGAAAAGGGTTCAGGATGAAGAATCGTCCTGGGGGAAGGCCCCGGGGTCCAGGGCCTGTTTCCCGCAAAACTCGTTTTCCCCATGTTCAGAATAGGTTCCGAGCAGATAGGGTCGGAGGATCGCGCCGCATCATCGATGCAATGCCGATGCAACTCGAGGTGGAATCAGAATTTCTCCACGCCGACATCGCCGATGCATCGCGGGTGTCGCCGATGCATCGCCAGAGGTTGGAGCCGCTGGAGGTCGGAGCCAGCTGGGAGTACGTGGTGGCCCTGCATTAGTTTTGGCCAGCAGGAAGGGGGAGGAGAGGTTCGAGGTTCTGGGTTCGCCAAGATGTTTTGCCTTTTCGGCCTTGGCGGGCCGTTTTTTTGGCCCCAGGACCGTGTAAAACGCATCTGTGGTGAGAACTTGCACCAGATGTGCCCCGGGAGGGGTCCGAGGACCGATTTTGAATGGATTCGCCTGAATCATCCCTCCTTGTCAGATTTTCTCGGGGCCCCTCCATAGGAAGGCACCAACTATACACCAACACCGATCCTGGCCAGGATCACCCTGGGCCCAGGATCGGTGTATACGCCCTCCTGCCTTGCGCAAGAAGGCATATACACCGATCCTGGGCCCAGGGTGATCCTGGCCAGGATCGGTGTTGGTGTATAGTTGGTGCCCTCCGACCTCCAGTTAAGACTCCTTGGCCGCCTCCAAGCTGGAGGGCATTCCTTCGGAGGAGGAGATGGCATGCCAAAGTTCGTCGTCAAAAGGGGAAGGTGTCGCATCCCTCTCGGACGAGCAGTGTTGAAGCCCGCCCAGGCTGGCCATGACAGGGCAGCCTTCTGCCCAGACCCCCCGGGATCCCTCCAGGACGGCTCAAGTCAGACCGCCTCCAAATCAGACCACCCCCCAAGCCAGACCTCCACTTATGATGCTCCAACCTACTGTAGCATTTGATCACCAGAAAGAATCTCGAGCGCCAGAAGAAGGACCGAAACTCCAGGGTTTTCACGTGCCGGGCCCTGGGAGACACTCGCCCGACACTGTCTCGACACTCTTTTTGACACTTTTCGGGGTGCTCGAAATTATTCCTGGGATGCGGCCCTTAAGTGGGACGGGGGACAGCATAAACCACCACCCCAAATCAGACCACCAGGGGGAAGAACATCGAGAAAGAGCCAGAACTAAACGCTTGGAGCTTCACGCGGATTCTTCGCATCGGCGTTGGGCCCCCTCCCTGAAGGGCGCGGAGCGCGGCCCCAGGCGCGACGCCCGAGGCGCCGTCAGAGGGGACCAGGGTCGAGCCAAGAAATCCGCGCGGAGCTCCGAAAGTTTACACGCTGCTCACTTCTAATTCTTCGATTGGTCTTTGACTTTTGGGGGACTCAGCTCCTTTCATTTCTAATTGTTCTATCCTGGGCCTCCCTCTTCCTGGCCACTAGGGGGCCAGGAACAATCAGAAACGAGCACGATTAGCAATGAGCACGATTAGAAATGAACGACGTGTATGGTTTTGCCTTTTTCTGCCCATTTAGACAGCGCGCCGATCCCGCAGCCCTGTCCCTCGCTTTCGCCTCCCGGGGCCTCCTGGGAGGCCCTCGTCGCCACGGCCAGGTTCGGCCGAAGTGCTGACCAGAGTGGACCCAGGGAGAGGTCAGGGGAGTAGCGGTGTCGGTTCCTTTTCGGGCGGGCGGTAAGGGGGCTGACCTCACCCGGGAGTGGAGAAGAGGGCCCTAAAGCAGGGCTCGAGCTAAACAGTGGTTTGGCAATTTCGTGGACTGTTTTCGTTTTGATTTCGTTTTGCAGCAAATGTGGAACGAAGACAGAACTAGGGATGACGAAAACAAAACGAAAACGTGAAACACTGTTTAACTCGAGCCCTGCCTTAAAGGGGGCCCTTCAGGGCCCCTTTTGGAGCCAACAGCGGCCCGACAGGGCCCGTTTCGGGATCTTCTTTCTCTCCACCTTCCAGTCAGGTCAGCCCCCAATGAACCACGACCTGCCAGATCCTTTTCGTTTTTTTGCATTCTTGCATGTGAGAACGAAGCGAGAGCATGAGCATCAACGGTCGGCGCTGGGGCCCCCTCGCGGCGCCTCCAGCGTCGCCCCTGGCGCGCTCCGCGCGCCAGGGAGGGGTTTCCAGCGCCGAATCAAGACATCCGCGCGGCCCTCTGAAAGAGTATGTTTTCAGTAGGGGCCCGACCACAAGAAACCTTCCACAAGAAACCCAACCCTGAGACCCCAGGACGTCCATTGGTTTTTGGTGAGGAGCGTCACGCCTTCCATAGCAAAACCATCGAAACCCAAGAAACCCAGGGCACCCTGGATGCAAGGAGGCTGTTTCTTGGCATGGGTCTCCACTGCATGTTGTTTTATCATTGTCTCAGAGGGGGGGAGCCGCCAGAGGGAAGTCTTCCCACCCCTGGTGGTGGTGCTGCTGCCTTCGGGGCCGCTGCTAGTGCTGTCGCTGCTCCCCATGCTCTTGGACATCGTGCCGTTTGTCGTCGGCTTCCTGCTCTGGCTCCACCTTTTCTGCCCTCCTTCTCATGCTCGTTCACATCCTCATCGCGCTCTTCAGCCACGGTCGAAGTCTTCATCCATCTCCTCCCTTCTCCTGTTCTCACAGTTTCTCCCCTTTCTCCTCACCCCTCCTTCTTCTCCGTACTTCACTGTACTCATCTTCCTCATCCGCTTCTTTCTTTTTATCCTAGTCATTTCTCGTCCACCCCCCCCCCATCCCCCTTCTCCTGCCCCTCCTGGTCCTCCCTTCCCTCCTCCGCCGTCTCCCCATCAGCTCGTCATAGTTTCCCTGATCCTCGTGCTTCTGCTCCACCCCCTCCCCCCCGCGTCTGCTTCAATTTCAGCCAATACCGCTGCCTCGTCGTCTTCGTCATCGTTGTGCTCCTCGCCCTCCCAGCGCCCCCACGCCAGGAGAGCAGCAGCGGCGTCGTGACGGACGCCTTCGAGGTCGGACGGTCGGTCGTCGGAGGCGGGAGAAGCGACGCCACCACCGCCAACGGGCCACTTCCGGCAAGAACTGCCACGACGCCTCCCAGAGCCGAAGACTGAAGATGCCTCCAGCGTCACGCCCTCTGACGAGGACGGGCCACGGCCTGGAGGGGCACTGCCTGGCACCTGCCCCGCGCGGCGTGGTGGTGGTGCCGTCTTTCCTTACGCAGCGGGCGCGTCGTCTTGAGAGTTCTTGGGGAGGGCGTTTTCCTTCAGGCCCAGGCAATTGTGCTGGCATGCCATCTCCCCCCTCCCCCTTGTAAGCGTGCTATGCCAATGCCCTGGAAAATGCACTTTCCAGGTTAACATGTTAACGACCATGCAAGTGCGCCAGAAAATTGTATGTTTCAGGACCTTCGAAAAAGGCGTTCTCTTGGTTGAGGCCTTGTACACCTATTTCCTTATATGGCGGGGATACACAAGGATTATCTTTGCGACGGCCTTGCATAGGGATTTCTTTTTTCGTGGCGGCCTTACGATGTAATGTTCTCCTTTGGTTGCGGACTTGCAAATGCACTTCCTTTTGCGGCGGCAATGCGAAAGGTTGGTTTGTCGTGGCAGCCTTGCAAGGATTGTCTCTTTGCGGCGGCTTTACAACACGATTCTCTGTGTGGTGGCCTTGCGAAAGGATCTCATCTTGTGCTGACAGGAGGAAGCCAAGACAACACGCATTTAAATATTGAGAAGTCTGTAAGTTCTTGTAGAATTTAAGTTCATTTTCTGTGTTCGATGATTGTGGTGCCGATGGCTGGCATAATGGTGGGCGAACACAGTTTTCAGCAGTCGCAGCTACAAAACGCTCCAAACGCAGTGGCAGCTCCAAAATGCTGTGGCAGCTCAAGGGTGAGGGATGAGGACGAGACGGAAGATGAGGAACGCGGCGAGAGGAAGTGCTTGGGGGGAAGGGAGAAGGGTCAGCTGAACTGGCGCGGGCATGCGAGCTGGATAGTCGTGCGGAAGGCGGGCTATGCCGCCATTCGAGGCATCTTGGGAGGTTGGGCTCTGTTCCTTCGGGAGGCGAGTTGCATCGCAGCGACCGCACTGGAGACGGATCCGAGCCTGGTGCGGTGCAGTGAGGAGACGGCCGTGGTATATGGGAATCGTGAACAACAGACGCTACGGCCGTTTTTGCCACGTGTTCGCCCGGGACCCTGATGTATCGATCAGGCACGAAGTTGTTGCCGAGAGGTCTGATCTGGTGTTTCTCATCCGTCCTGTGGTGCTGGTTCCTCGTTTTGAAGAAATAACGCCCCTCGTCCCTCCTCCGCCTCCTAGCTCTCCCCCTCCTCCCATCCGTGTCCTTGCCGTGCGCATGCCCATTTTTGCACACGCACACACCTCACACGTTTCGCGGCCTCATATGAAACTCCACCGAATTCTCCAGTGGCAGGATTCACATGCGTCTCCCCGCCAATGCCTACACACCCCTCACATGCTTCATGGCCACATAGGGTGCTCCACCGAAAGCGGTATCACAGCTGTATATAGTTGGGTCTTTCGCGGGGATGGTTTCTCATGCCGTCGGTTTTTTATATTATCAAATTGCAGGATCTTTCGGTTCCCCGCCCATGTCGTCACCCGCCGCATACTTTTCCTGGCCCCACAAGGAGCTCCACCGAAGGCCTCAGTGGCAGGCTTCGCATGCGGTTCCCCGCCACACCCCTCACACTTGACGTAGCCCCATAGGGAGCCCTATCGAAGGCCCCAGTGGCGGGTTTTCATACGGTTCCCCGCGTATTTCGGCACACCCCTCAATATCTCGTGGTCTCATACCACTCCCTGGATTAAAAAGTGGTGGTCGGCACTACGCGAGGGAATAACCCCTGGGTCTTCGCTAATCGATAAAAACCTCGAGCTTCGACCTTCGATCGATCCCAAGATGTCTCCCAGACAGGCCCGTGAACCGAACGGAGGAACGGCGCGGCAGATACCAGACGAGACGCGTGGCTGTTATGAAAGCTTACACGAAATCGCAATTGTCTGGCGGCGTGAAAAGCGGCCAGAAAATGCCCTGTGAGGAATTGTCTGGCGATGTCGCCACTCTCAAGCGGCCTGAAGATTTGATCTAATTGTGACGATGCCATGGCATTTTGTCAGATGCCCTGGAAGACGACCTGTCAGGTTTGTTGAGGACGCCTCGGGCGGAATCGCACTTTCAGTCGCTGATCACGTCTGGCTTTTAAAACATTCAAAGGGGGTGAGAGATGCATCCGGGATTTCCCAATCAGCCCGAACTCCAACATTGCCCTGGGGCCCCGCGGCCCAACGGGAGGCCAACCTTGTCTTCCTCGATCCCCACGGTCTCCATGTTTTAGTCCAGCGGGTTGTAGTGAGGCTCCACCGAGGGCCTCAGTGGCAGGGTTCGCATGCGGTTTCAACCCCATTTCGGTACACCTCTCACACGTTGCGTGGCCCCAGAAGGAGCTCCATCGAAGCCTCAGTGGCAGGGTTCGCATCGAATACCCCAGTGGCAGGGTTCGCATTAGGTCCCCCGCGCATTTCGAGACCCCCCGCACACGTTTCGCGGCCCCACAGGGAGCTCCGCCGAAGGCCCCAGTGGCAGCGTTTGCATGCGGCTCCCCGCCCATTTCGTCACACTCCTCCCACATCTCGTGGTCCCATAGGGAACTCCACCGAATGCCTCAGTGATAGAATTCGCATGCGGTTGCGGTTCCCCGCCAATGTTGGCACACACCTCACACGTTTCTACGCCCCTAGGTTGCTCCAACGAGAGCGGTACCACAACGCGGTATTCACAGCTGTATATAGTTGGGTCTTTCGCAAGGATGATTTCTCATGCCGTCGGATTTTTGGGGAGTCCTGCACGTTGGAACTTTTTGGATGCCGTCCACACGCTGGTTTACTACAAAGCCAGGCCCTCGCCCACGCCTAGAATACATGCACACCACTAAAAAGAAGTCCAGGCCCGAGACATGTGCCACCCCTCACAGCCCTCTCGCGAGTCAAGGAACGACTTCAACTCGACGGGTTGAAAGATGCACTGTGGAGACGGGGAGGTTAGACATGAGTTGAGCGAGTTACCAGACGGCAGTGGTACACATGGACGTGTTTCACAAGCGGTTGCGTGTGGTGCTCTGCCAAGCCAGCAGGTCTGCGACATGGAGACGGGCGACGCATTGTCCGAGGACGTGGACACATTTTTGGGGCGGTATACATGTGTGGATATGTGCGGACGAACAAGTCCGCGCGGACCTCCCAACATGTATGTCTATTGTTGCCGTCATGGCTGATGCCTTGGGCTTCTGTCGCCTTCAGGTTGGCCGTCTCTCTCGCTGCCTTCTGCTCATGTGATCACTCTTGGCCTCCCGAATCGGGTCCGAGCAGATGCACTGGCGATGCCAGCGATGCATCAGCGTCGCCGGCGTGGAGAAAACCGGGCCCCACGTCGAGGCGCATCGCCGAGGCACCGGCGATGCGGCGCGATCTCCCGGCCCCGCCATGATCAAGCAGTGGCGAAGCGTCCCGGCACGCCTATAGCCCCACCAACCAATGTTCTAAGAACCTCTTGTAGTTCCCACGACATGGTCTTAGAACATTTCTGGATGGGACTGTCTTGTTTTAACACATAGGGTTTATGTTCTAAGAGCATTGTTTCTGTTCTTAGAACATTTGTTGGGTTCTAAGAACATTTCGTGGTATGACTATAGGAATGCCGGGACGGTCGGCCCCTGCTCAACATACCTGGACCCCATTTGGGAGGCCTCCATCGCAACACTGCCGCACCCCGTTGTTCTCGCCTTCGGGTGGGCCGATTTCCCCGCCGCGCCCCCCGCGGAGGTGAGGCGGCCTGCGCCCGCGCTGGGCCCCCGCTCCTACTAGGTCTCCCGGGCGGGGCCAGGACGGAGACGACTCCTTCTGGAGCGTCCCAGAGCATGACAGAGCGTCCCGGGCTCTGGAACGGCCGCGGCGCCCGATGGAGGAGGAGGAGGAGGAGGAGGAGGAGGAGGAGGAGGAGAAGGAGGACCCGCCAGACCTCCGAGGTCCACGACACTTCTCCGCACCGGTTGTTTGTCCTGGTGTTGGCTTTTCGTCTGAGCTTGCGCTGCGCTGGGCCCTGCTGGGGAAGGTCGGCCACGCGCAGAGGGGGGGGGGGGGGGGGGGGGGGAAGGCTGCTTAGCAACACCCCTGGATCTCAGGAGCGGCTGACCTCGTTTGTAGATGTAAGGCCCGTGCCTGCTGAGAAGCAGCCTTCTTCCAGGAGCAGCCTTCCCCCCTCCCCCTCCCCTCCCCCTCCTCCCCCTCCTCCTCCTCCTGCTCCTCCTCTCCTCCTCCTCCTCCTCCTCTCCCTCCTCCCTCCTCCTCCTCCTCTCCTCCTCTCCTCCTCCTCCCCTCCTCCTCCTCCCTCCTCCCTCCTCCTCCTCCTCCTCCTCCCTCCTCCCTCCTCCTCCTCCTCCTCCTCCTCCTCCTCTCCTCTCTCCTCCTCCTCCTCCTCCTCCTCCTCCTCCTCCTCCTCCTCCTCCTCCTCCTCCTCCTCCTCCCCCTCCTGCCTCCCCTGCAGTGCGCGCCGCCGAGGAGGGTCAACGCTTCCCCGGGGGGCCACGCGCGGAGCACGCCGCAAGGCGTCGCCCAGGGCCGTGGCCCGGGGTCGCAGCGGCCGAGCCCGGGCGGCCCGCTCTCGGGCGCGGGGTGTTTTTCGTTCGAGGGGCTTTCGAGGGTTACCCTCGGCTGGGTTTTTGCAGAGCTTGTGTGTATGAGTATCTTTGCATGTGTACATATATATATATATACACACAGATACATGGCTGTATGTATATACATATATATATATGTGTAGATCAATATTTTTATATATAGATACTCATATATATATATATATACATACAAATGCATACATACATACAATTATATATGTTTGTGTTTGTCTGTCTGTCTGCCTGTCTGTCTGTCTGTCTGTCTGTCTGTCTGTCTGCCTGTGCAAATATATGTGTAACTGTGTGTTTATCTACCTATCTCTATATCCACCTATCCATCTATATGTCTACCGATATATATAGATCTATCGATCTACCTACCAATCAATCAATATATATGTCTATCTATTTATATAGATGTCTATCTATATATCTATCTATCTATATATCTATATTTCTATATATCTATATATATATACATATATCTATATATCTATATATATAGCTAGCTAGCTAGCTAGCTAGATATCTATCTATATATCTATATATCTATATATATATCCATATATCGATCTAGCTGTCTATCTATCTATATATATATCTATCTATATATCTATATATCTATCTATATATCTATCTATCTATCTATCTATCTATCTATCTATATATATCCATATATCTATCTATCTATCTATCTATCTATCTATCTATCTATCTATCTATCTATCTATCTATCTATCTATCTATATATCTATCTATCTATCTATCTATCTATCTATCTATCTATCTATCTATCTATCTATCTATCTTCGGCCTTCCGACGGCCCGAGGCGGCCAAGGAGCCCCCGAGGATCGCCCCAAGATTACCCAGGAGGCTTCCCGGAGGGTCCCAGAACGGCCCAAGACGCCGCCAGGACGGCCCCAAGAGGGCCCCACGACGGCCCAAGGGGCCTCCCACACGCCCGAGATGGCCTCCAAGACGGCCCTGGAGCACCCCACGAGGGCCCGCTGCTCTCTGCCGAAGTGGGGCGCCTGCGCCCGCGCTGCCCCCCCCCCCGCCCCGACTCGGTGCCCTCGGCATCGCTCGGACGTGTGCATTCTTCCTTCGGCGAGGACCATCGAGGAGCATCCCTGATCACTTGGCGAAACAACCACGCACGACACCGAAGCGTGCACAGAGAATGGACGTCCGAGCGATGGCGAGTGCCCGGCCACCAGGGGCGCAGCGCGAGCCTGAAGGTGGCGCTCACGCAGGCGGCCGCGGAGCCGACCATGAAGCAGGTGCTGTTCGAGCTCAGCGACCAGGCTCTGCTGGGCAGCGTCCAGGGGCCACGCTTGAGCTTCGAGGTTTCGAGGTGAGCGTTGAGTCGGGCCTGTCCCTCCACAGGAGGAATATCCAAAAGTAGTCCAAAGATAGTCTGGGGACGATTCTTTGCATATTTTCTTGGTCACTCTTGAACACGTTCATTTGTCCTCGAAAATCCCCCATGTAGGGGGACAGGCCCGACTTAAGGTTAGCGGTTCAAGGTTCGAGGTTTCAGGTTTTCGAGGCTCAAGTGTGTGTGTGGGGGGGGCGGAGCTTCGAGGCTGGAGGCGAAGCCTTCGAGGTTCGAGGTTTAGGGGGTGCAGAGCTCAGGGGGGGACGAAGTTTCGAGGTTCGAGGTTTCGAGGTTCGAAGTTTCATATGTTCGACGAAGTTAGGAGGTTCGAAGTTTCATAGGTTCTCGGCGGCTTTCTGGCCGCGGGATGCTTTCCAGCAGCTGCGCCTCGCCGAGAGCGTTTCGCGGGTGCCCCGATCGTGCCGACGGGCCGTTGGGGAGTCGAGTCACGGCCCGAAAACCTATGGGCAACGTTAGGGGGGGGGGGGGGGCGGCGAGCACCAGTGGTACAGTGGGACAAAGGAAGGGCGAAGGGAACCCTGGCAGGAACATGTACGGCCATGAGTGTTGAATACCAGTTTCGCATGGCCCCTGTGTAGAAGTGTTGACGCTTCCCGTATCCCCGTCAGCCCATCCAGAAACGACTCCTGTCGAGGCTTTGCGAGTGTGGAAGCGGAGGAGCATGAGCTCGGCGTCACCTCACCATACTATACTATGCGTGCGTCGCCCCCCCCCCCCCCCCCCCCCAGGGGCGACGCGCGCCGAGGAATATTGTAGAATAAGCTCCGTGGAGGGCGCTTTCTCGCCAGCTCGCTCGGGGAACGATATCTTATAATATTGGTGTACCATATGTTCGGGTCTGACGCGCGCATTCAAGGAGGACGCACAGTACTAGTATGTCCTCGTGCGTCCCATGAGCGATTTCAAGGGGGGGTGCCAGTCGAACCGAAGGCACGATCAGCCCGGGCAGCCTGGAGCACTGGTCAACTCTGGGAGCTCCAAGGCCCTCGCGCAGGCCTCTGGGAGTCATCTAGGGGCTCTCTCTGTGGGAGACTTCGGGGCCCTCTTCTTGGGGTTGTCCTGGGGCCCTTCTTGCCCTGACCTTTCAGAGTGCTAAAAAATAGCACTCCAGACCTATAGATCTATCTGGACTGCCTCAAACCTCGACAGGAATTGGGACGTCGACGTCCTGGTGCTATTTTTTAGCTCTCCTGGAAGGTCAGGGTTGGAGGGCCTCCCAGAAAGACGGGCGCTCTCCCCCCTGGAGCCCGACGAGCCAGCCCCAAGGGACGCCCGCAGGAGCTCGAGGCCTGCCGCACGCCGGGAGTGCGAGGAGGGAATAATCCTCGATGTGCACCGCAGCATACCCTGACCTTCCAGAGTGCTAAAAATTAGCACTCCAGACCTATAGATCTATCTGGACTGTCTCAAACCTCGACAGGAATTAGGACGTTTACGTCCTGGTGCTATTCTTTAGCCCTCCTGGAAGGTCAGGGTACCACAAGGGGTCCTCAGCCGTGGCCCATCTCGGGGAGGTCCTCGGGAGGATCCGGGACCTCCCCCGAGCCACCTCCGGGCTCTCTCTCTTGGGTCAGCTTGGAGCCTCGCTGGAGGCCCTCGTGTCCGGCGTGGGGCCACCCTGGAGCCTTCGGAATCGCTCGGGCGTGTTCTCTTGCCTCGGCGAGGGCCACCGAGGAGCATCCTGCCTCATCTTGCAAGGGAAGCAGCGCGCGCGAAGCCGAGCACGGGCACGGGGAGTGGACGTCCGAGCGACGGCCACCTGGCCGACCTGCGGGGCCACTCTGGAGCCGCCTGGGGCAATCTTGGGCGCCGGACTGGTCGCGCCCCCCCCCTCCCCGTCGAAGCTCCCTGCGGGGATCGGGGGTGGACAGACCTCCTACCCTGACACGTCGATTAAGGAATTGGCCGTTGTCGTTTCGCGAGAGGGCGTCGCGGCCGTCATTTCTGCGGGTCCAGGTCCGTCGATTTCGGTCCCAGGCCGTTTTCACTAAGGGGAGGTCTACGAAAGGGAGGTTTGTCCACCGCCGAGGGGAGGGCTTTCCCACCTGTTGGCCCGCCAGCCCCTCCGAGATCGGGGACCTGTGCGCCCGCGCAGGACGCGGCAGGCCTGGCGGGTGGTGATGGGGGGTGGCCTCATGTGGGGTGAAGAGCAGGGCCCTACAGTCAAGCAGCATACTAAGGATGCGCGACAAGGATGCAAGGGCCTTGGACGCCCAGTTCGAGGCTCTTCGAGCGGGGCGCGGCCGACGAGAGCGGCGAAGGATGGAGGACGCAAGGGTACCCTTGGGCAGGTTGCCCATCCCTACCATGCGGGTTGACTGCAAAGGGGCCCTTTAGGGCCCCTTTCTCAGGGCCCTTTAGGGTCGGCCCAGAGTAGTAGGTCCACCCTGCCAAATCGGGGGTACCCTTGTGTCCCGTGCCTCGCGACCCGTGCTTCCTGCACTCCCGTGGGAATGTGGCCCTCGGCAGGGTCCTGTGCCCTCTCGCGCGCGTGTCCTGCCCAATCGAGTCCGACTGTAGGGTCCCTTCTCGGGGCCCTTTAGTCACCACCCACCAAACCACCCCAACCCAAACCGAAGGTCTCGATCTGCCCTCCATTTCCAGTTTGGGGGGGGGTCGGGGAACATCGAGAACACACACATGGAACCCGTACCCCCCCCAACCCGAAATTCGGGTCTGCGGGTTGGGTTGGGGTGGTCTGGCAGGTAGTCATTTAGGGCCCCCTCCTTGGGGCCCCTGTGGGGCCCCCGGGGCCGCCCGCCCCGAGCGCGCAGGGCCGGCCGCCGCCTCGAGCCGCTGGCTGGCCACCCCTCACGGGGACGCCGCCGCTGCGCCCGGGGCCGGCGAGGCGCTGCCGCGGCCCGGGGGCCGTCGCCGGGCGTTGCTGGAAGTGCCCCTGGCCCAGGGCTCGGCATCGCTCGGACGTGTGCATTTTTCCTTCGGCGAGGACCATCGAGGAGCATCCTTGATCATCTGGCGAAAAAAGCACGCGCGAAACCGAAAAAAAACACGGAATGGACGCCCGAGCGATGGCCAGAGGGTGCGTCTCGGACTTTCTTGGAAGGGGCGCCGCAAGGCCGAGGCGCACTGGATACGGATAAAGATTGAGCCTTTTGGGGGCAGATTATCATCCATGCCTCATGTTTCTTGGGAAGAGTGTCCGAAACTCCAAGACGCACTGGATGTGGATAAAGACATTGCCCGCAAGAAGTGCCCCTGGCCCAGGGTGCCCCCAGCCTCCCGCTCCATCCTGGAGCCCCTATGGGGCCCTCCTGGGCCTCGTGGGGAGTGCCCTGGAGGCCGCCTGGGCCACCCCGAGAACCCTGCGGGTACCTTGGGCCAGGGGTAATGGAGGGTGGCGATTAAGAAGTGACCGGGGGTCGTGTTCACGCGGCGGCGCCCGGGATGACGATTGGACAAAGCGGCCGCGGGCTGGAAAACTATGTTTTTTTTGTTTTATCGTTCTCCCCCAGTCAGAAAATTATGCAGAAATATTGCAGGACACAATTTTGTTTAATCGTTCTCTCCCATTCTTTATTAATCGTCATCCCGCATTACTTCTAGCAGCACCAGGTGTCGGGCCGCGGCCCCCGGCCCGCGGGCGCAGAGGGGCCCTCGCCATATCCGTGAGTCCGGCGGGCCGGGAGGAGGACGACGGGGCCTTGCGGAGCGTGCCTGGAGCGGTCTCGGAGCGTGCCGGGGCGCTCCGAGATCTGGACGCCCGAAACGGGCCCTGCCCTCGCCAGATCCACGAGTCCTCCGGCGGGCCAGGAGGAGGACGACGGGGCCTTGCGGAGCGTGCCGGGAGCGGTCTCGGAGCGCTCCGGGGCGCTCCGAGATTTGGTAGTCCCCAAACGTGGTGGATGACAACACCTGGCGGTGAGTCTCGGGCGATTTGGTGTCACCACCCGGTTGGGGGACTCGTGCGGTTTTCCGAGGATGTCCCGGACATTGGCGGGTGCAGGAGTCACCAAACCCGGTGGTGACCCCGCGTCCCCAAACCCAGCGGTGACCTTTTTTGGGATTCCAGGTCGCCGCCTGGTATCTCACCACCCGGTTTGGGGGTTCCCAAGAGATCTGGACGCCCGAAATGGGTACGGAAAGAAGGGGTACAAGGCCCAACAGCAGTTCCTGTTCATTTTGGGCAGGGTTCGCTGTCCGCGCCGCCGCGGCCTGTGTCCCTTCGAGGCAGAAGGCCGCCTGCCCAACAGCGGCCGCTGTTGGTTTGGGGCAACATTTGCTGTTGGGCATTGTACCCATGTTTTCCGTACCCATTTCGGGCATCCAAATGAGAAGGCCGCGGCGCCCGAGCCATCCTCCAGAGCCGCGGGATCCTCAGAGATGCTCGGTGTATCCTCGCCCAAACTTCTCCTCGTCCTGCGGCCTGCTGCGAATGCAGGCAGCTCGGTGGGCGGTGGGGGGGTAATTAGGGCATCGAAGGGTACGCAGAAGACGGCGCAAACATAGCTGAGCCGTCGGAGCTCCGCGCGCATTGTCCTCGGGTCGGCGCCAGGGCTTCCCTGGCGGCGCCTCCAGCGTCCTCCCCTGGCGCGCGCTCCGCGCGCCAGGAGGGGGGGAGGGGGCTCCAGCGCGGATCCCAGGGAGCCCGCTCGGAGCTCCAGCGTGTGTGCACGCCGGTCGTGGGCAGCATGCATGTCGGTCGGGGGTGGACAGGGCCCCCGCCGTGGCACGTCGACGAGTTCGTGGTCCGTGTTCGGTGCCCGAAAAGGCGCCCCGGCGTTCCTTTTCCAGGCTCGCGCCCAGCCAGGTTTGGGCCCGAGGTCGTTTTCACGGAGCCACGTTTTGCTGAAGGGGATGCTGTCCACCCCCGAGCATTTCTGGATGACCAGACTCCAGTAGACTTTAGGCGCCCTCCTACTTCCAGGATCGGGTGGTCTCTGTCTGCCCTTCCTCTGCAGGGGGCGGGCGCAGGCCCAATCTACTCCCAACGCTTTCCTACTTCGTGCGTCTACCCACTTCTTCCGAACGACGGGCATGCAGTTGTTTTCCCTCTAGGGTTCGGAACTCTTCGATCACGCGGCGAAATCCGAACCTTCGCCCCGCCTCTCATCGAGTCAGGAGGATTGATGGTCGGTGGGGGTCAGGGTTCGGATGTCGCCACCTACCTTGGGAGCACCCTCCCTTCCCCCGCTCTCCCTCTCGTCACTTCCATTATGTTCGCCAGCTCAGGGCGCGCCGCTGCGTTGGCCCCGCTGTCGTCCTGGCGCCCCTGGGTCATCGCACGCCAGGTCTGCTGTGGGCAATCAGGGCGTCGGCACACGTCGCAGATTCGGAGTCGCAAGTGATGGCTCCGAGGCTGGTGTAGTGCGGCAGATTCTTGCCGCGTCGATGCGGCGGCGACCCCGCCGCGGGCTTCCAAGGCTGAACGCCGCCAGTGGCCCAGAATCGACTAATGTGGTATGATCTGCGCTATCGGAAAGCCGCCAGTCTTCCAAGGTTGAACGATCCGCACGGTGTCACAAATCACGGCCAAAGTCGTCACGATACAAACCATCAGGATCATACCCATACCAGCACCTCGTAGAAGGTTAGGATCCTGTGCGCGCACGATGGAGGGCTCGGGAGTCAGAACGAATATCCATAATTCGCTCACGCTATGACGACACACTATGACAACTAGCAGAGAGTGTGGCATTTCCGGCGTTCACGTTCTATCGGCATCATGGATTGGATTGCATGCGTGAGGGGCCGTTGCATATGAAGTTGTCCTGGTGGCTGTGCATGGCGAGCAGTTCAGGTGTCCAGTGGATGAACCGAATGCACACTTCCTCAACAGTCTTGTTATGTTTTCCAGTCTGTGCTTGCTGCTGCCGCGCTGGCTTTTGGCAATGCATCTATACATGTGTTGTAGTTCTGCGCAGATACGTCTTTGCCTGAGGAATGGTAAACATGTAGATGGTGATGATGCTGGCTTTACACCATACTACAAGATAGCCTGGAGAGCTTGGGGCACTTAGCAACGATCAGATGAGCACTAGGCAGTCGCGTGCACACGAACAGTTAAAGTGCGTGCCTGCGCATGTGGAAATGCTTTACCAAGTTCACCCTTGCCCCTCGTTGCCCCACCCTCGAAGCCTTCGTGGATTCACCCCAGCTGACTCTTCCAGGCGGCCCTGCCACCAACCTGCCCCATCTCAGGGGGTGTGCGTGCCCCTGTCCGTGCATCCCCCCTACGCGCATAGCTGCATACCTTCTTCCAGATGGACAAGAAGACACTGTGACGCCAGGGACAGTCACGATTCGGCATGTGGGGTCTCCGAGCGGGCAGAGATGTCTCTGGCAGCTGCGCCTCGCCGACTACCAGCAGCACGGCCTTTCTGCAGAGTTGCTCGTTGACAGCCTTTCTTGTCAGTCGTTTGACCGTCACTTGTGACGGCCTACTACTCCCCAGCCCTGCTCCATGGGCACGCCACCAGTCGAGCCTGGGGTCGCGGAGGCCTCGATGTTGTCGTGTCAGTGACCAGGGGAGTTCGTCGGCCAATCAATCGAACGCAAAGAGGGGGAGCCCAGGTGCCCAACCTGGCGGCGTTCCTCTTCATGCCCACGGGCGAGCCGCCCCAACGCAGCTAGCTGCGTTTTCACATATGGTCGGGTGCGCATGGTGTGTGCAATCATATGTATTATGTGTGTCTGCGCACACACGCACACACACTTATATGACTGGCCAGAGACCGATAAAGAGGTTGTGGCGGTTGTAGCGGAACTCGCGACGGGACAGCCATCGGGACAACCGTCTCCATCCAGCGAACCGCCTCTATCGGTCTTGGATCTGCTGGCCTCACGTTCTACCTATCTTATTGCCCCTCTGCCGATCTTACTATACAGCAATCGATCGGGCTCAGTGTATACCTCTATACTGATGTCTAAGGTTAAAGATTGGCCTCGCTATATAGCTATCGATATCACTGTCTACCCCTCGATTTCATTCTCGATATGTTTGCCTATGCACCTGGATCTCGGCCTCACAATCTACGTAACGATCCCGATATCAATACATATACCTGCCATCGGGGCACACAGCGTGACAACCATCCGAACAACCATCGGGACAGCCATCGGGATTGCCATCGGGACAACCATCGGGACAACCATCTGGGCAGCCATCGGGAGAACCATCGGGAGAACCATCGGGACAGCCATCGGGACAACCGTCGGGAGAACCGCCGGGACAACAAGAGGAACGATGGATTCGGCTTGTGTCGGAGGTTCGTTTTTTGCGATGTGCGGGGCGGAAGGGGGGAAGGGGAGGAGGAGGAGGAGGAGGAGGAGGAGGAGGAGGAGGAGGAAGAGGAGGAGGAGGAGGAGGAGGAGGAGAAGGACGACGACGACGATGACGTCGATAACGACGGGGAGGAGGAAGATGAGGAGGAGGAGGACAAGGCGGCAGAGGAATAGGAGGATGATGGAGCGGAGGAGGAAGATGGTGATGTTGAAGATGAGAATTGACGATGATGTTGACCACGGTGAGGATAGGAGGCGAATTGACGGTGGTGTTGAAGATGTTGGTGAGTTTTCGAAGGGTCGTTCAACGATTGCTCAAGAGTTGTCCCAACAGGGCCCCAAGAGGGCCTCGATCGATAGGGCCCCAAGAGGAGTACACATCAGGTCACGTCAGCGATATGGTAGGAAGCGTCAACTGGCACCGACAGGCATCGAGAGGCGAGATTTGAACGTCCCAAAGCGAGTTCGAAAAAGGTCACGGAGGCACACCCAACAACGCAAACACACAATCCTTAGGGAGGTTGTGGGGGAGAGTCCTCCTGGGAGTGTGTCTTTGTTTGCTTTCTGGTGCCCTTATTTGTTGGGTTGCGGGCTTAAAACCAAATGCCACACTGCTTTGTTATGGCTCTGTGTTAAAACTAAACGCCGAATGTATTGTCCGTCTCCGAGCGGAAGAGACAAATTACACAGAGGGAAGCAAAGCTACCAACACATCAATAGTTGTTTTTTTTTGGTTGGCAGGATCCCTCCGTGTATTGATTTACGGGCGCAGCCCGTAATTTGATTCTCGCGAGGTAGACACTGACAGACTGAACTGAACCACCAGGCCGTTAGATGGCAGTTTTATTTCCGCGGGTGAGGATATTTCGGGTGGCAGTTTTAAGCCAGCTGGTGAGCATATTTCGGTGGCAGTTTTAAGCCAGCGGGTGAGGATATTTCGGTGGCAGTTTTAAGCGCCAGCGGGTGAGGATGTTTCGGTGGCAGTTTTAAGCCAGCGGGTGAGGATATCTCGGGTGAGGATATTTCGGTGGCAGTTTTACGCCAGCGGGTGAGGATATTTCGGGTGGCAGGTTTAAGCCAGCGGGTGAGGATATCTCGCGTGGCAGTTTTAAGCCAGCGGGTGAAGATATTTCGGATGAGGATATTTCGGGTGGCTGTTTTAAGCCAGCGGGTGAGGATATTTCGGGTGGGGTTTAAGCCAGCGGGTGAGGATATCTCGGGTGGCAGTTTTAAGCCAGCGGGTGAGGATATCTCGGGTGGCAGTTTTAAGCCAGCGGGTGAGAATATTTTGGCAGGTCCGCGGGTGAGGATATTTCGGGTGGCAGTTTTAAGCCAGCTGGTGAGCATATTTCGGTGGCAGTTTTAAGCCAGCGGGTGAGGATATTTCGGTGGCAGTTTTAAGCGCCAGCGGGTGAGGATGTTTCGGTGGCAGTTTTAAGCCAGCGGGTGAGGATATCTCGGGTGAGGATATTTCGGTGGCAGTTTTACGCCAGCGGGTGAGGATATTTCGGGTGGCAGGTTTAAGCCAGCGGGTGAGAATATCTCGCGTGGCAGTTTTAAGCCAGCGGGTGAAGATATTTCGGATGAGGATATTTCGGGTGGCTGTTTTAATCCAGCGGGTGAGGATATTTCGGGTGGCAGGTTTAAGCCAGCGGGTGAGGATATCTCGGGTGGCAGTTTTAAGCCAGCGGGTGAGGATATCTCGGGTGGCAGTTTTAAGCCAGCGGGTGAGAGTATTTGGGTGGCAGTTTTAAGCCAGCGGGTGGGGATATTTCGGGTGGCAGTTTTAAGCCAGCTGGTGAGCATATTTCGGTGGCAGTTTTAAGCCAGCGGGTGAGGATATTTCGGTGGCAGTTTTAAGCGCCAGCGGGTGAGGATGTTTCGGTGGCAGTTTTAAGCCAGCGGGTGAGGATATCTCGGGTGAGGATATTTCGGTGGCAGTTTTACGCCAGCGGGTGAGGATATTTCGGGTGGCAGGTTTAAGCCAGCGGGTGAGGATATCTCGCGTGGCAGTTTTAAGCCAGCGGGTGAAGATATTTCGGATGAGGATATTTCGGGTGGCAGTTTTAAGCCAGCGGGTGAGGATATTTCGGGTGGCAGGTTTAAGCAAGCGGGTGAGGATATCTCGGGCGGACGAGGCAAGAGGCGGCGGGAGGAGGATTTCATTGAAAATGGACGACGGGGGGGGGGAGATCAGCTCGAGGGCGGAGGACGCGGACGGGATGAGGAGGCGGCAGAAGGGAGGAGGAGGTGGAAGTGGAGGAGTCGAGGAGGAGGAGGAGGAGGTGGAAGAGGAGGAGGAGGAGGAAGAGGAGGGAGGAACCGAGAAGAGCTCTGTGCTCGGCGCGGGCATCCAGCCGCCACGCGATGCATCATCTGTATGGTCGGCCCAGCCGACGGCTACGCCTCCAGCGAGGTGCTGCGCCCGTATATATGCTCGCCCCTTGGCGTGGGGCTGGCGGGGGGCCAAGGGGCGAGCTGTCCGGTGATTACTTATTTGTTGCGTTCATTTGGTATTCTGCCTCCGAACTTGAAGCCCTCACAAATTAAACAGATGTTTGTTGTTAGGCTCCGAGCTGGAACACCAGAACGCATGGTGTTGTTTGTCTCCGAGCAGAAGAACCAAACCATGAGGCAAACAAAACAATGACACATTATAATCCCCGGGGGTGGCGTTGGGGGAAGAGCCCTCCAGGGTATGTTTGTGTTGTGCTTTTGTTGGTTCGGGGGACATGTGTTTTTTTTGTGCTCCAGGGTATGTTTTTTGTGTGCGTTCGTTTTTGTCGTTCTTTTTGTGGTTGTTGTATGTTTTTGTGTTTTTGGGAAGAACCCTCCAGGGTATGTTTTTTTTTGTGCTGGAAACATGGTTTTGAGGATTCTGGGCTGAAGCACAGCTTTCTTGTTGATAATTCACCAAACGCGCCATGTTTTTTGGTTGGTTCCGAGCAGAACGGCTAGGCAAACGTAAGGACAACACGGGGAGCAATCCAAACAGTCTTTGGGTTGGGTTATGCGGAAAAGTCCGCCCACCATTTGTGCATTGTGTCATTGTGTCTTCCTTTATGCCTGGGAGCTCTCACGCGGGGGGGAGCGGCCGCGGCGATGCGGTTTCGCAAGCACCGTTGTGGGCGGGTGGGCGGGAAGATTGCGTGAGCAATGGGGTTGGCAGTTTCGAGCTCGGCAGGGCGAACGCACTGCACAGGTTGCACATCATTGGGTTGCACAGCCTAGCTTGCATATACATAGGTTGCTCCACACAGTGTTCACCACAGAGCTTCTCCTTTATAAGAGAAAATTATGAGCTACCCCCCCCAGGTTACCGGATCATTTTTATGTGTGCAATTTACACACGATTCTGCCCGATCGTCCATCTTGAACATGAGCTCGTACTATCCCAGCCAGGCCGGAAGCGATCCCATGCCATCCGCTGCAGAAAGCTATTATGTGCGCGCATCTGTTCATCACAAATCATAAGTTTCTGACAGTTTTTGCAATTGATGAGGCAAAGTCCACACGCGCGTGTCGTCGCGTGCGCATGCCGATCATTCAAAAACCTGCAGTTTGGTAAGGAACTCGAAAGCGAGCGTCCAAAGTACATACGAAACACACATATGCCCGCAACGAGGATCTTCAAACAAAGCTTGAGCTCGCGCTCTTGCGAATCCTTGTGGAAATCATCGGCTTTCAACCTTTCATTCAATGCTACCAAACGGGCTTCGCGCGCGCATGTCGATATCGTTCGAACGCCCTAGCGCGCGAGCTGCGGCAATAATCCTTTGCAACATCTGGGACGAAGTGCGCGCGCGCGTGGTCGCGCGCGTATGCCGAAATCTTTCAAAAACCATGGGTTTCGCAAGGATTTCAAAACCGAGCGTCCCGAAACCGTATAACAAACATATGGTTCCGCAGTATCAGTTGTCAAAAAAGCTTGCGCTCGCGCTCGGGTTAAACCTTAAAGACAACCACAGGTTGTCAACATGTCCATGCAAGTCTGCCAAACGGGCCTCTCAAGCCGCATGCCGAACTCAATCGAATGCCTTTGCGCGCGTGCTGGGGGGGGACGATCCATGTCAAATAATGCCATGCGGCCACTCTCGCGCGTCGGCCGCGCGCGCATTTCGAACTCCGTCCACCACCTTCATCACCGACGCGAGGACGCCTTCATCGTCGCCAGCGTGATCATCATCGGCACCGTCACTGGCCGTGCTGTCGTCGTTGTCGACGTCGTCACCAGCATCGCTACTATCATCGTCGTGTCTACCGTTGCCGACGTTGCCGTGGTAGGACGCACGCCCAAGTCGCCGACTCGCACTGAAGTGCACGCTGTAATGTGCCCAGCGGTCAGCGCCACCACGGCCGCGTCGGTCACGCCAAACTAGTTCGCCGCTGCGCGCGTGTGCGTGCGCGGATTGGAGCGGCCGCAAACATGCACCAGCCAATGCCAAGCACTCATCGCAATCTCCGCCGCATGGCGTTGCTAACCAAGTTTCGGGTGGGTGGCTGGGATGTTTACAAGAGCATGGCATGTGTCAGCTCGTTTGTAACAAACAATTGCACAGTATAGATTCACCACTTCTTGTTGCACAACTTACTACGTACCGTGCTGCACAAGGGTTTGCGATTTATTGTTGTTGTTGTTGTTGGTGTTGGTGTTGTTGTTGTTGTTGTTGTTGTTGTTGTTGTTGTTGTTGTGGGGTCGGCTAAAGGGCGCCGCTCTTGCGCTGATCATTGCAGGGGACGGGCTGGGACATGTGCGATACTGAAACACGTAATAGATTACCAGCCTGTAACATATCCCTATCCCTATGCTGGGCACCTCCTCATCACGATGCCAATCTTAGGGATTCCCTTATTTTTTGAGGGCGAATCCCTAAGATTGTCATCGCCTTTTGGCGTGTCAATCTTAGGGATAGGGATACGTTCGAGGCTGGTAAATAGAGGGGAACCACGGGAGAGAGGACAAGGGGGCTTGTGCATGGGTGCGCTGAGCCGTCCAGATCGGCCACCGGGGCACGCCATACTTGCGAGAGCCGCTCGCTGCACGGCACATTCTGACCCGCAGGCGTTGGGCGGCACGAGTGTTTGTGCTGATTGAGTTGCAGTGCGGGCCTCGATTATCACTTGGTGTTCTTCTGCCAGGCGCGGCAATCACTTGGCATCTCTCGGACGTGTGCATTTTTCCTTCGGCGAGGGCCATCGAGGAGCATCCTTGACCATATGGCGAAAAAACACGCACGAAACCGAAAAAAACACAGGGAATGGACGTCCGAGCGATGGCAGTATCAGGCTGGCAGCCGGTCGCCGGGGCGCGCACCGCGCCAGGGTCGGCCGAGTGCGCCGCGCAGGTTCGCGCGGTACCGCCGCGCTGCTTGCACCATCGCCAGTTTTGTTCATCCGCTTGACGCAATCCCTGGGGATTCGTTGTGACGTTCTGCCGCCGCATGCACAGGCAGTGGTTGCGTGGTGCACGCGGTGTTAAGAATAATCGGCCGCGAGATGTTTTTTTTTCGCAAGCCTGTCTCATTCAAGCTGGTTGCCCGCTGTTGCCCCCCCTTTCCCCCACCTTGGCAACCGCATCATGCAGTAGCATGCATGGCGGTGTGTCCGTAAGCAAGCCCGTACGCCCACACACGGGCGCACGCAAACACGCAGTACCCGAAAGCGCACGTGACATCATGTGAGTTGATGGCTAGTGTGGCCACGGGCGTACGTGTAGCGCCGTGTGGTGACGTTCTTGTGCGAATGTTTGATGTGATTCTGCCATATCGGACGGAGTCAGGGGGTGAGACGAAGTGGCCCCAACTTGGGCATCTGTTTTAATGTCGGTTCGTGTCATGCGTGTGGTCGAGACGGGCATGCGCGAGGACGATGAAGTGCTGGCCAAGGCTAGGGCCACGTCGGACAACCTAGTTTTGCCGAAGGTCTCGCGGGGGGGCGCGAGGTTTTTCCGTCGTTGTCTTGTGTCCCGTGACTTGCCTTGTGGGTTGTCTTTTGGTTGTCCCGTGGTTGTCTTGTGGGATGTCCCGCGGCTTGTCTTGTTGTTCTCCCATCGGTTGTGCAGCGGGTTGTTCTGTGTTTGCCTTTTGGGTTGTCCCGTGGTTGGTTCCCGTGGGTTGTGCTGTGGTTGTCCCGTGGTTATTGTGTGGTTGTCTTGCTTTTGTCGCGTGGGATGTCCCGTGAATGGCCCCGTCGGAAATGACAGCATCCAATTGCAATTCCAATTGCAGGCGATACATGTTGTCTGCACATCGACATGCACATCGAGGTGCTAAAAGGAGGCACATATGTGTGCAAGACGACATGCACATCGACATGTAAGTCGAGCTGCAATTGCATATGCGAACCGAAAATCAATCGACATGCATATCATAGGGCAATCGGCATGCAGATGCGACATGCAGTTCAAAGCGCATATGCAAATGCAGCTTGAAGCACACGTCGAATGCCGCGTTTTATTGCAAGTCGGCGTGCATATTGATTGTGCGCTCAAAAACAACATCGAAACGGCAGTCCACCTTCACATCGACATGCGGCATGCAAGGCGCCATGCCCATCGGACCACACACCAAACTTGCACGCGGGAGTGCACATCGTAAGGCGACTCTTCCCCCCCGTCCGACCTCCTTGCCGACCCGAGGGTTGGCCTACGACCTACGAGGTGGATGTGTCCACGCCTGTCCTGCTCGGCCACGGAGCGAACGCGTGAGGGTGATGCGGAGGAGATTGAGGCTGGTCTGCGAGGTACACATTGTTCATTTCTAGTTTTTCGAAGGATCTTTGATTGTGTTGGGGGCCAAGTTCCTTTCGTTTCGAATTGTGCTATCCTGGACCTCTTCCTGGCCACTAGAGGGCCAGGAACAATTAGAAACGAGCACAGTTAGAAATGAGCACGATTAGAAACGAACGACGCGTAGTTTCGTCCACGCCTGCCCTGTTCAGCCACGGAGCGAACGCATGAGGGGGGCGAGGCGACTGAGGCTTTGGAGCAGTGATGATACACAGTCAGCCCGCATAGTAAGGACGGGCAGCCCTCCCAAGGGTACCCTTGCACCCTTGCCTCCTCGGCCCATCCTTGGCCACTTTCGTTGGCCGCGCCCCGTCCGGGAAGCTGCGAAATGGGCGTCAGAGGCCCCTGCAATCCTCACCGCGCAGCCTTCCCATGCGGGTTGGCTTCACGTGCTCTGCGGTAACTGCTGCACCTCGGAGCCCAGGCGACCTGTCGCCCCCGCCGCTCGCGGCGGCCCAGGACGCGCTGGGGCGCGGCCCCTTCGTGGCGGGGACTGGGGGCCGCCCGGGGGGCGGAGGCGGGCGCAGACTCGTGCCGGGACGGCCCCTCTGTGCTTGTGGGAGACGGTCGATGGAGAGGAGGCATGTTGCCAAACTTTCTCCAGATGTCCAAGACATGTTAAAACCTCTGTTACAACATGCAAGCCACATGTTTGAAACGTGTGGGTGCAGTTTTAGAGCTTGGAAGCACATTGGCAACTCAGTTATAGGGCTGGTAGAGTGTCCACTGTCATGGCATCCACAACTCTATGCTTCTCGCTCGATCGGGCCCTCCACATTCCGCCTCGAAATCGAACGCGAGTTTTTCCCACGATTTGGCGGCGCCCCAGGACCCAAGCATTGCAGCGTTCCGCCGAAAGTGCCGATGGCAAACACAACAGTCTGGGGCCCCGTTGGCCGCGTTTCGCGCGTCGGTGAACATTCCATGCGAACTTGCGTTCGATTTCGAGAAGGGCTGCAAGGGGCGCGGCGGCTCATGCGGAGGAGGTGGAGGATGATGATGAGGAGGAGGAGGAGCAGTGTAAACCCAAGGCGGAGCAACGATGTTGCAATAAACCCTCCCCTCGAGCTTCCTCTTCGTAGGTCTCTGCATGGACCCGTTTTCACTGCGGGAAGGGCGCCGTCTGAAGACAGCTGTCTGGAAGTCATCAACCGTGCCAACACACCATCCTTGGGGCTGCAACGCCGCGAATCAACGTTTCTGTTGCGTCCTGGCGATCCCGATACGTGCCAGAAACCACTCCTGGGAATTAAACACAGCGAATAAACGTGACTGTTATGCCCTGACAATCTTAAATCGTGCCAACATGCAATATCTCGGACGTCAACCAAAATAATCCATGACACTGCTCGAAACTTTTAAGACGAATGCGCGCAGCGGGTGGGTGAGATCCATATCTTGAAAAGGAAGCTGCCCGCATTTATGAAACTCCTGCAAAGTGCTAAGACGAATGCGCGCGGCGCTGCGGCAAGAGTCACATCTTGAACACGGCCCGCCCTCCATCCGTGAAGCTGTTGTCAGTTTTGAGCTTCAAGACCATGGATTGTGAGGAAATCTCAGGCGACATGCCCGGCCCGCCCTACCGATGCGCCTTGGGGGCGACAGGGAGGAGTTATTCTCTTGCACGGGGCGTCTAGAGCTCCGCCGGCTCGAGCTAAATTGTGTTTTGGCGATTTCGTGGACGGTTTTCGTTTTGATCTCGTTTCGCAGCGAAGGCAGCATAACGAAGCAACGAGAGCCATGCGAACACGGAAAACACTGTTTAGCTCCAGACCTTCCTGTTGAGCTCCGACCATTTGATCCTGGCGCTTACGGCACAGGCAGCGCGCCCCCCAGGTCCCTTCCCCTCTCCCCCCAGCCAGCGCGCCTCCTGCGGGACTGGAAAATGACCACAGCCATTGCTTCTTGTTTGCGCCGCCTCCCAGCCGGCCGAAAAAGAAGCAGTGGTTGTGGTCATTTCCCTGGTGCCAAGCTCAACGAAAATGACCACAACCACTGCTTTGTTTCTGCGGGCTGGAAGGCGGCAACAAAACAAAAGCAGTGGCTGTGGTCGTTTTCACGCCCCGTACCTCCTCCGCCGCGACCATGTTACCTCGGCGCACACGGCACGGCACCGTCGACGCGTCCCTTCCCCCAGCCAGCCCAGCTTCCCTCTTGCCCCACGGCCGGCGCGCCCCCCTCTCCCCGACAATTTGATCACTTCGGCACGCGCGCACGGCATCAGCACCGCCCAACCCCCCACCAGCCAGCCCAGCTCCCGTCTCCCCGCAGCCAGCGCGCCCACTCCGCCCCGACGACAATTTCATTTCGGCACGCACGTGTGGCACCAGCACCGCCACCGCGCCCCCCCCCCCCCAGCCAGCCCAGCTCCCCTCTTGTCCCAGCCAGTGCGCCCCCTCCGCACCGACCATTTTATTTCGGCACGCACGCCACGGCACCGGCACCGCGCCCCCCCCCCAAGCCAGCCCAGCTCTCCGTCGCTAGCCACCCAGCTGGCATTTCCCCTTCGCCCCGACTATTTTATTTCGGCACGCACGCCACGGCACCGGCACCGCCCTCCCCCCCAGCCAGCCCAGCCTGGAGGCTCCAGAAGCCCCTGTGAAGCGAAGCAGTGGCAAGGAGCAACTCATTGACTGCCGTGGGTTCTTGAAGGACTTTTGGCTTGTTGGGCGGAGCCTGGAGGGTGCTCCGACAGCACTTTCGGAGGGAGGAGGTGCGACACCGACGCCACCAGGGGGGCCACCTCAAGCGAGGAGGTCCACGATGCCTCCAGCGAGCTGGAGGCTGCGTCACCCCAACATACTTGTACTATATGTGCGTCGCTCCCCCAGGGGCGACGCGCGCACCGAGAAGTCTTATAGTATATGCGTCGTGGCCGACGCTTTCTGGCCACGCCGCTCGGGAAACGATGTACTACAAGATGGCTATACTATATGTTCGGGTCCCACGCGCGCCTCCAAGGAGGACATATAGTATTAGTATGTCCCTGTGCGTCCCATGTGGCTGTCGCGAGCGAGCAGGGGAGCCCGCCCCACCAGGGGGTCCCCCCTCTTGCTCCTCGCCCCTCCTCGCCCTGCCGGTGCCCTGGCGTCGCCCCCCCCTCGCTTGGCATCGCTCGGACGTGTGCACCTCCTCCCTCGGCGAGGACCATCGAGGAGCATCCTTGATCATTCGGCGAGAGAAAAAAAACCACGCACGACGCCAACAGAAAGCACAGGGCGTGGACGCCCGAGCGCTGGCGAGCTCGTCGTCCTGCACCACCGCGGGGCCGCCGCGTGGCCCCTCTTGGGCGAGCGGAGCTCCGCCGCCGCCCGCCCGCTCGGCCCTCGGCCCCGCGGGAGCGCCGCCGCCCCTGCGCAGGGAGGGGCAAAAGCACACAGGCACTCAGTCACAGCTGATCGTCGATTTCCAGGAGAATAGGGGCAACCATGGGAAGTGGGGGGGGAGACGAACACCAAGAAGATATTGGAAGATGTGGGAAATCCTGTGATTTGTGTGTGATTTGTGTGTGTGTGTGGTTTTCTGTGTCTGTCTGTCTGTGTGTGTGTTTTGTGTTTCGCGGCCCGTTCACCTGCCCTCGGCGGCCCCCTGCGCGCGGGAGAAGGGGGGGGGGGGCGCGCGGCCCCGGGGGCGGGCCCGGGAGGAGGGCGGCGGGGTCCTCTTGTCGTCCACAGTGTTCGTTTTTAGTTATTCGGGAGTTCTCTTTGATAATGTATTGGGGGGCCACGAGCCTTCCACTTCTGATTGTTCTATCCTGGGCCTCTTCCTGGCCAGTGGGGGGCCAGGAACAAGTAGAAGCGAGCACAGTTAGAAATGAGCACGATTAGAAATGGACGACGTGTAGGCCGCCTACAGTGGGGGCCCATGCCAAGAGACGCCCTGCTCGCCTCCAGGGTGGCCTAAGGGTTTCGGGGGCTTCGATGGTGTTGCAGTGGGAGGCGTGTCGTGCCCACAGCAGAAACCAGCGGACGTCCTGGCGTCTCAGGGTTGCGTTTCTTGTGGAAGGTCTCTTGTGGACTGGCCTCCACCGTAGATGGGGTCGGAATAGATGGGGTCGGAGGATCGCGCCGCATCGCCGATGCATCGGCGATGCGGCTCGATGTGGAGCCCGGCTTGCTTCACGTCGACGACGCCGATGCATCGACGACGTTGCCGATGCATCACCGATGCATCCACGATGCACCGCCGATACATGATGCATCTGGATCTGTTTTGGACGGTCCCTCATCCCGAAAACGACCCACACTTTTATTTCTGCTCGCTGGAACCAGTGCTGGGCCACCTCAGACCCCCAGCTGGCTCCAAGTGGTCCAGTCAAAGCGCACAGGAAGGATGAGCAAATGTTCAAGGTTACCTTTACATCAGGGAGGTGGTCAGGCAGGTGGTGGTGGTGTATATTTTTCAGGCGATCGCAAACATGGATCGAACGGGCGTGGATTCGCGACGGGTCCCGTTTCCATGGGAAACCGCGGATTTCCGCCGCCGAACGAGGCGGCACCGGCCGCATTTTGGGGAGGGCACCTCCCCTGATCCATGGATTTGGCGACCGCGCGCCAAATCCATGTACACATTGTTCGTTCCTAATGATTCGAAAGTGCTTTGACTCTTTGGGGGGCCAAGAGCCTGTCATTTCTAATTGTTCTATGCTGGGCCCCTTCCTGGCCACTAGGGGGCCAGGCACAATTAGAAGCGAGCACAATCAGAAACGAGCACGACTAGTAATGAACGACGTGTATCGCCAATCCATGTTTGCGCGCCCCCGACTTCCTGGGCCCCGCACCTCCTCACCTCTCGGGCCGGACGAAAGAGGGGGAGTTGGGAAAGGGGGGGTTACGAAATTTGCTGCACGCAGCTGATTTCGGCCCCACCAAGGGGCCCATTCCTCGATACATAGTCGCCCCCGGCGCCGGGAGGCGCCGGGAAAATCAGCTACGTGAGCTGATTCTCAACCCCCCCCTTTGCGATCCCCCCCTTTCGCCCGACCAGAACCTCCCACCCTCGCTCGACGCCGACGACAAGCCCGCCCTCCGAGCGCCCCGGGTGCTCCCGGAGGGGGGGGGCAGGTGCGCGAGGCCAGGGACCTCGGGCGCGCGCTGCTGTTCCGCGGGGAGCCGCGCCGCCCCGCCCCCCCCCCCCCCTGGGGGCCGCAGGGGGGGGGGGCGGAGGGGGAACGGGCCAAGGGATGGGAGAGGAGGAGGAGGAGGAGGAGGAGGAGGAGGAGGAGGAGGAGGAGGAGGAGGAGGAGGAGGAGGAGGAGGAGGAGGGAGGAGGAGGAGGAGGAGGAGGAGGAGGAGGAGGAGGAGGAGAGGAGGAGCGAGGAGCGAGGAGCGAGGAGCGAGGAGGAGCGAGGAGCGAGGAGCGAGGAGCGAGGAGGAGGCCGAGGAGGACGAGGAGGAGGGATGAGGAGGAGGACGAGACGGCGCCAGCTCGGCGAGGCGCGCAGGAGCAGCGCGCGCGGCGAGGCGGGAGAGGCAGAGGGAGAGGAGGAGGG